AATCCCAGCTGTGGTGCTTTCTGTTTCCTGCTGGGACCTTCACTATTAGAGAGTTAGTGACAGAGATCAGATGGTCCACTATGAGACTCTGGCTGGGCAGGGAAGGGAGAGAAGCGGGAAGGGGTCCTGCAGACTAGCAGACAACAGAAGGATCAAGAGACGAGAGCTCCCTATGAGTTGATGCTCTAGGTGTGCCAGCAGTGAGGGTCTTTCAGACCTGGATCAGAGACCGGGAGGCTGGATTTTGAAGACATGGAAAGCAGTACTGAGTTGTGATTAAAACCACAATTTAAAAAAAAAAATTGGGACTCAGAGTCTTATTGCAGAATCTTTGCTCTGTCACCTTATGAAATGTGTCATTTCAGGCAAGTGACTTCACTTGCCTCTATCTATAACATTTGTTTTGTTTTGCCAGTCCTGGGGCTTGAACACAGGGCCTAGGCACTGTCCCTAAGCTTCTTTTGCTCAAAGCTGTGTATGTGATACTGAGAAATCAAACCCAGGGCTTCGTGCATGCCAGGTAAGCACTCTTCCACTAAGCCACATTCCCAGCCTATATCTCTGTCTTTAAAATGAGGATGTCAATATGAACCTTGAAGCTGTGTGTTTTACACAAAAGCATTTAGCACAATACCTGGCACATGGTACTCAACGTTTGCTATGTATGTTATACTTCTGAGTAATGACTTAGTACAAGGTATGGTCATGGGAGTAGGTGGCTGAGTGGAATGAAGGTCACCAGGACCCAGTGGAAAGGGAATGTGAGGCAACATAATTGGAAAAATGCATCAGCACGAGGCAATTAAGTAGCCCAGCAGGGCTGGGCCCAAGCAGCTCACGCCTGTAATCCTACCTTGTCAGGAAGCTGAGATCTGAAAATTGTAGTTCAAAGCCAGCCCAGATAGAAAAGTCTGTGAGATTCTTATCTCCAATTAACCATTAAAAAAAAAAAAAAAGGAAGTAGAAGTGTGGTTTAAGTGGCAGAAAGCCAGCCTTGAGAAAAAAAGCCCAGGAAGAGTGCAAAGCCCTGGGCTGGGAATGTGGCTTAGTGGCAGAGTGCTTACCTACCATGCATGAAGCCCTGGGTTCGATTCCTCAGTACCACATACATAGAAAAAGTCAGAAGTGGTGCTGTGGCTCAAGTGGTAGAATGCTAGCCTTGAGCAAAAGAAGCTCAAGGACAGTGCCCAGTCCCTGAGTTCAAGCCCCAGGACTGGCAAAAAAAAAAATGTCTCCTGAATTTTCTTTCTTTTTTTTTTTTTTCTGTGGGTCGTGGGGCTTGAACTCTGGGCCTGGGCACTGTCCTTCAGCTCTTCAGCTCAAGGTGAGCGCTCTACCACTTGAGCTACAGCGCCACTTCTGGTTTTCTGGTGGTTTATTGGAGATAGGAGTCTCACAGTCTTTCCTGCCCGGGCTGGCTTTGGACCGTGATCCTCAGATCTCAGCCTCCTGAGTAGCTAGGATTACAGGCGTGAGCCACCAGTGCCCAGCTGTCTCCTGAATTTTCTTGCCTAGAAATGGCTTGGAACTGTGATCCTCAGATCTAAACCTGTTGAGAAGCTAGAATGACAGGTGTGAGCAACCAGTACCTGGCTCTTACACACTTTTTTTTTTTGTCAGTTGAACTCTGGGCCTGTGCGCTGTCCCTCAGCTCTTCAGCTCAAGGCTAAGGCTCTTACCACTTGAGCCACACTACTTCTTCCAGTTTTCTGGTAGGCTATTGGAGATAAGAGTCTCACGGACTTTCCTACCCAGGCTGGCTTTGAACGGTGATCCTCAGATCGCAGCCTCTTGAGTAGCTAGGATTATAGGCGTGAGCCACTTGTGCCCAGCTTACACACTTTTCTGGATGTTTTATTTTGTAACTATAGAATATCTCAGTGGTGTAGTGACTAATTTTTAGCAGAATGAACAGTCCTGACTCCTGAAGCCCTCCAGAGTCCCTTCACCCTGTGTCCTCTGGGCACTCTGGACTCTGCCACTGGAAACACGAGTCTCCAAAGCCAGCACGTTAAGCTGGGGCCTCCTTGGGGGTCTGCAGAAGGGCCAAGCTTAAGCCTCCCACACAGGGAATTTATGGGACATTTGTTACCTAGACACTGGGCCACCTTACATTGTCATTGTCGGGGTCCAAGCCCACATCTTCACCAGTTCCTGCACGCCATGAGGTAGCTGATGACTGACAACCAAAGGAGATGGGGAAGGGGCTCTGCTTTTCCACTCACCTTTTCCTGTCTTGCTCTATCCCATTCTGGAATCTTCCCTAAGGCCTTGGAAAGGGCTGTCGTTTGCCTGGAATGGTCCCTCAGTCGCTCTATGGACTCATCCTTCAAGGGCCCGCCACCTTCCTCAAAGCCCGGCACATCTGCAGTCCCCACGGCTGCGTCCTGTCCACACACCCCACCCCACAATAACCTGTTTCTTTGATCTGAGTTGTTTCCCATGGTCGAGTCTGGCCCATTTCTGGGCCTCTAGGGTCCCTGGGTCACTTCTCATGGCCTCCTCACACACTTCCACAAGTGCCTCGTGGCCCCCTCACACGCTCAGGCGCACGTGCTCACTCAAGGGGGAACGTTCCAGAGGCGTGAGGCAAGGCTTCGAGGTTCCCGCCAAGATAGACTTCCGGTCACTATTGCGCAGGCGTAAATTCCAAGCCCCCCTCCCCTTCCAGGTTCCTGCCAACGCAGACTTCCGGTCCTGGTCACAGCACCAGTGATTCCTTCAGCCTGCTCTGGAGTTTACTCTTCCGGTTTGCATCAGTAGGCCTGAGAAGGCGTGGCCTAAAAGTGGAGAAGAGGCCTGCTTTGCAGTGGGCGTGGTCTTTCACATGGGAGGGGCTTGCGAGTAAGGCGGGGTCTGAAGGCTGGAACACAAGCCCAAAATCAGAAACCTACCCAGGTAAGAGCAGAGCCTGCTTGTGGGGACAAAAACCAGCCTGCAGACTTGAACCTGGGGACTTGAGGTTCTATAATTTAGCCCAGTTGGTACAAAAAAAGATTGGCTAAGGCAAGCAGCAGCTCCCACCTCTAGGCACAAGTAAACCTCAAAACACAGGAGAGCCTCAAATCCTAGAAGGTTGTGGAAAGCAAACTCGGACACTTCCCCAAACCTTCAGTTAGGTGTCCAGGATCAAGCTCCACCTTGCTGTCCATATTGGAGTAGAGAATCAATGTTTCCATGTTTATCCATCAGGAAAGTGACTTCCCTTTCCCTGGCCAGTGGCCTATCAAAAAAACTCAGATAAAACCCACACAGGAGGGCTGGGAATGTGGCTCAGTGGTAGAGCGCTTGACTAGCATGCATGAAGCCCTGGGTTCGATTCCTCAGTACCATGTAAACAGAAAAAGCAAGATGTGGCACTGTGGCTCAAGTGGTAGAATGCTAGCCTTGAGCAAAGGAAGCTCAGGGACAGTGCCCAAGCCTTGAGTTCAAGCCCTAGGACTGACAAAACAACAACAAAAGCTATACAGGATGCCTGAGTATTAAGACGACTTTAAGTGGCCAGGTGCCCGTGGTTCACAACTGTAATCCTGGCTACTCAGGAGGCTGAGATCTGATTACAGTTGTTTAAAAGTAGCACATAAGTCCATCACCAGGCCCTGAGTTTAAGCCCCAGTACCAATACCAAAACAAAAACAAAAAACAAAGACTTTGAGGCAGGCAGTGTAACAACTCCCTCCCCAGGACTGGGTGTTACTTACACAGTAGCCAACTGGATCAGCCTTAGCTTCTGGTTAATTGCTAGGATCCTGGTATATCAACATAGGGCAAGGATCCCAGACAGGATCCCAGATGTGAGCAGGTGCACCCTTGCTACTACGAAAGGTCTTGAGAATCCTTATTCAAGCTATCCCCACTCTGGGGCCCTTGCTCCCTTCCCACTCAGGAAAAACTTGGTATTGCATATTGCCTAAGAGTTCCTGAACCCTTACCCGAGGGGAGGGGAGGGGAACCACAGGCACTACCTCAGCTATAGCCACCAGTAACTGGAAGTGTGTGGTCTCTGATAAAGGAAGAACAGAAGCTAAGAGGTATGAAAAGAGGTGGGGACAAATCCCAGGCAGAGAACTGCCTGTACTTTCAGTGTCCAAACCTCAGAGTTCCATCAGCTTTGATGTTGGTTGGCTCACATCACTGAACCTAGTTAAAAATCCTAGGAGGGCTGGGAAGGTGGCTCAGTAGTAGAGTGCTTGCCTCACATGCATAAGGTCCTGGGTTTGATTCCTCAGCACCACATAAACAGAAAAAGCTAGAAGAGGTGCGGCTGAAGAGCTGAGGGACAGCACCCAGGCCCTGAGTTCAAGCCCCACAACCCCCTTCAAAAAAAAAAATCCTAGGAGGCAGGTGCTGCTGGCTCACGCCTGTAATTGTAGCTACTCAGCAGGCTGAGATCTGAAGATCATGGTTCAAAGCCAGCCTGAGCAGGAAAGTCCAGACCATTATCTGCAATTAATCACCAGAAAACAGGAAGTAGAACTGTGGCTCAAAGTGGTAGTGCTGCCTTGAGCAAAGCCCAGGCCAAGTTTAAGCCCCTCCCCCCAAAAAAAATCCTAGCAGCCCCTCCTCCAAGAATACACAAGAGCAAAGCGTATGTGGATACGGATGGGAGGATGTGACTCCTGTCAGTAATTTTGTGCGTGTGTGTGGTCAATCATGGGACTTAAACTCAGGGCCTGGGTGCTGTCCCTGAGCTCTTTTGCTCAAAGCTAGTGTTCTAGCACTTGAGCCACAGCTCTACTTCTGGTTTTCTGGTGGTTAACTGGATGTAAGAGTCTCATGAACTTTTCTGCCCAGGCTGGCTTTGAACATAATCCTCAGATCTCAGCCTCCTGAGCAGCTAGAATTACAGGCATGAGCCACTAGCACCCAGCTTGTACTTCTCTGACAGAGTAAAAGAGACACAGAGAGTGGAATGAGCCTATGAGAACAGCTGGCATTGATCCAGCAGCCCACCCTCCTGGGCCCCCCTTCTCCCCAGCCCAACAAAAAAGAGTTCTGGAGAGGCTTGGGGCCCACCTATGCCCTTTCCAGGGTCATTTTATTGGTGCCATTTGTTAGACATCCTCCCATCAGCCCCAAGTCTTTGCCTTCCCTTTACAAGGTGGCGGCTGGTTCTGGCCCTGACCCCATAGACAACAGCAGACCTTGATGTGAGGCTACCACAAAACCTATGTGTGACACTCTTGAGTCAAGGGTCCAAGTATACGTGTATCTGGCTCTGGGGAAGATGAGGAAAGTAAAGAGAGCTGGGTCTGTGTGGATGCCAGGCAGAACCCTGGCTGGCTAGATGTATGGACAAGGTGAGCAGGCCCCACAGGAACCCCAGCTCCAGGGCCCATTGGCCAGCTGAGGCCCAGATGGATATGGTAAAATCAGAGATCCTGAGAGAAAAGCCCTTAGGCCAAAGAAGTTGTGTGGAGCAGGGAGGGGCCCAGGGATGATTTCAAAGTGTGTGTGTGTGTGTGTATGTGTGTGTGTGTGTGTATACACGCGCACACACATATGTGCCCACAGCCTCGATGTACAGGGGGCTTTGGTGAGTGTGTGGCTCTGCCTCTCCACCTTGGAGGACTGCAGGCCTGAGCCCCCGAGGCTGAGGGATCACAGCTGGGGGTGGGGAGAGTTTGGGAAGGAAACTGGGCTGGAAGTGGTTTAGGCTTCAGAGCCCACATCCTGACACATAGGCTGTCAAGGGGCCTGCCATGCTGTGCAGTCCTCAGAGCTGCTGTCCCCTAGAGGCAGAGATGCTCATCCCCCAGGGGAGAAGGCTGGAGACTCAGAGGTGGGGGTCAATCCTGCCAGACCCAGGATCAGGAGGCTTCTGGTGGGCGCCGCCCCCCTTCCTCCTCCATCAGCAACAGGCGGCGCCGGCCAGCCTCATAGTCAGCCTCGTCCACGCTGACCAGCAGACGCACGGCCTCCCGGCCCACGGCCTCCCGCAGGGCCTCAGTCAGGAACACACCCCGAAGGGCCTGCAGCAGGGCGCCACTCAGATAGTCACCCCAGAAGGCGTCCAGATAGGAGAGCTCTGAAAACTTGATGTCACACACCACGGAGCCCAGGTCCCTTGAACGAAGCACAGCGGTGGCTTGCCCAAACACATCCAGCTGCCGGGCCAATGCCTGGGGTCTCCTGGATGCCACACCCTGTTCCAAAGCTGGCCCATGCTCACAATATTCCGCTCGAACTCGGAGCCGGATATCTGCAAGGGAAGAAGGGACTCATCAGTGTGTATGGCCATGCGGCCCCCCTTTCTCCTGGCCTCCTCCTGGCACCTCCCTCCTGCCCCACCCCTTCCTGGCAACAACTTCCAGGACCACCAAGTCTGATGCCTCTGCACATCCTCTCGGCTCTGCCATGCCTCACCTGTTATTTCCCCAGCTTTAATCACCACCCCTTGCAGCCTCACCACCCATCACCCCTCCGTGAACACCAGTGACAAGGTCATCCCAAGGACCAGCTAGTGCTGGAAGCAGCAGCAAAGTGTGAACTGTCGCTGGGCACCAGTGACTCACACTTGTAATCCCAGCTACTCAGGAGGCTGAGATCTGAGGATTGCCATTCAAAGCCAGCCTGGCCAGAAAAGACAGTGAGATTCTTATCTCCAGGAATGAACCACCAGAAAATCAGAAGTGGCACTGTGGTTCAATGTGGTAGAGCGCTCACCTTGAGCAAAAGAGCTCAGGGATAGCACCCAAGCCATGAGTTCAAGTCCCATGACCAACAGGGGAAAAAAAAGTGTAGACTGCCAGGGCTCCTCTGAGGGCTGGAGTCACAGGAACTCAAGCCACCTGCTTTTTACCACCTGTTTTACAGACAAAGGGGAGGAAGGGAGAAATGACCTGCTCAAGGCCACACAGACAGGCAATGCCAGTGCCCAATCCACAGCCTTTAACAGAAAGCAGGCTCCTTGGTCAGTGGAGCTGGTTCCAATCCAGCACCTTCAGGCACTACTGTGTGACCTGAGTCAGGTCACAGGTTCCTCCTAAACCAGGGCACAATCTCTGCTGGAAAAAGCTGTTAAGAGAGAGAGAAAGAGAGCAGTCGACAGGAGCAGGCCAACACCATGCCTAAGTGCTCAGTGGTATTCCAAGAACATCAGCTGCAATGTGCCAAGTGCTACACACTGGCACAGTCAATACCGAGCAGCAGGAAGCGCCATTGGCCCATGTAACAGAGGAGGAAACGGAAGCTCTCAGGCAATGGGCTCCCATCACCCTTCACAGATGTGTAGGCAGAGACCACAAGGTAGAAGCAAGTCCTCTGCGCCCCTAGATGACTTTTCACCCCAGCTACTTCCTCCCTCTTCCCTTCCTCTTTCTCAAGGCCCAGGGAACCCTGCCCAGCCTCGCCACCAGGCCCTCCCACCCTGAGGACCAGAAAAGCCCTCATCCTTGGGGCCCTTGGTAAGCATCAGCCTGAACCTTCCCACCATAGATGGGGACCAGGGAGCCAGGAGGAACAGCACCTGCCCAAGGCCACACGGGGCTGGGCAGCAGCAGAGACAGAGCCACTGATGGAGTCCCACAGACCTGGAGGTGAGTCCCAGCTCTGTCATTCTCTAGCTGTGGGGCCTTGGGCATGTGACCTCACCTCTCTGAGCCTGTTTCCCCATCTGAAAAACATAAACAGACAAAAGAGGTCCCTGCTGCGCGGTGGTCACGAGTATTAAATGAAGCAACTCACGCGAGTGCTGCCTCAAAGCCTAGGCCTCCAGGAAGGCCCCAATAACAGGAACTGATTTCAACACCCAACTCTCTACATCCCCCTGGGTCCCTGCCTCTCTCTCATCTGTCTTAAACCAAACAAGCCAATCTCCTTCTCCTTGAACTCTATTGCAACAGAGTTCCTGCCATGTTGGAGTGAACAGAGGACAGAGCCAAGGCACTCAGTGAGTCCCAGCTCTCCCTCTCCCTCAGTGCCAGGCAGGCCAGGTAGGCCAGGAAAACATGCTGCCCCCAGTTAGGGAGCACTCCCTCTAGTGCCAGGCCCCACCCACAGGAGGCTTTCTCTACCTTAGCCCACCTAATCCTCAGGGTATTTTCACTGCCTCCAGTGCAGATGAGGAAATCCTTCTCTAGACCACAATTTAACCTCTGATCTGGAGAACCTCAGTCCCAGCACTCAGAGGGAAGAAGACGGGAGACACCAACAAACAAAAGAAAAAAGACAAGCTTTACTCAAGCCACCTTACCCCAGGGCCTGAATTCCAGGCTTTCTGATCAACCTCTCCTAGACCCCTAGGCAAAGAGAAGATCAGATGACACCCATGGAATCTACCATGGAATCTGCCACAGGCGCCTAGCACCGCCTACTTTACCTCCACTGACCCCTTTGGCCATCCCCATGACCTTCTGAGGTGATGCTGTCATTTTGTTGTTGCAAATTGGGAAACTGGGGCCTAGAGGTTGAGTCACCTGCCCACAGCCAGATTTCTGAATGAGGTGCCAGGCTCCAGAGCCTGAGCTCATAGCTACCCCAAACCCATTTGCTGCCTCTCACACAGTATCCATAAATACATAGTTAAAAAAAATATCCCCAAGGGCCAGGAGAACAAAATGATATTGAAGAGATCCAAGTTCCTCTCTAGGAAATGATATATAAGGAGGACACAGGTTTAACTCTTCCTGGAAGAGAGAAGACCATCCATGAGAAGCCAGATGCTAGTGGCTCATGCCTATAATCCTAGCTACTAAGGAGGCTGAGATCTGAGGATTGCAGGTCAAAGCCAGCCCAGGCAGGAAAGTCTATGAAATTCTTATCTCCAATGAACCACCAAAAAGCTACAAGTGGAGCTGTGACTCAAGGGGTAGAGCACCAGCCTTGAGCCCAGGCCCAAAGCTCCCAAAGCGCTTCAGGATCTACCTTGGGATGGTCCCTCTCCTCTTTTTTTTTTTTTTTGGGGGGGGGTCCAGTCATGGGGCCTGAGCTCTGGGCCTGGGCACTGTCCCTCAGCTCTTCAGCTCAAGGTTAGCGCTCTACCACTTGAGCCACAGCGCCACTTCTGGCTTTTTTTTCCTGCTTATGTGGTGCTGAGGAATTGAACCCAGGGCCTCAGGCATGCAAGGCAAGTGCTCTACCACTGAGCCATCTTCCCAGCCCCGGTCCCTCTCCTCTTTCACCCAGATCTGCCAGCCATGACAGCTCCACCATGATCACTTCTAGCACACTCAGATCCTCACACCTGCTCTGTTCCCTCCATCTGGAACATACCCCCTACCCCCTTCCTTAGCATCTGACTTGACTTTCTCCTCCTATCAGAAAATGAGCTTCATGAGGGCAGGAGCCTCCCAGACCTGCTGGGCCTAGCAGATAGTAAGTGCTCTATAAACACATCTGGAACAAACTCATCTCAACCCAGCTCCGCCCCTGCCTCCCACACAAGTAACTTCCTTTCCCATGGCCTGTTTCTTCTTTGTACAAAGGAAGACATCATTCACACCTTCATGGCTGTCTTGAAAATTCAAGGTCCAGCAAATAATATGCCCACTGAAGTGACCACGGGGGGTGACCCACAGAAATACACAGGTATCTGGAAACTCCAAAGTCCAGCATCCAAACCCAGAATCCCCAGGTACTTGTCAATGGGGGCAACTGGTTGGGATCAACCCCACAAGTGTCATGGGTTTGGAGGGACAAGAAAGGCAGCAACTTTCCTTAGTCTGCTCTGGAGGGGGCCTCATTAAAGAGAAGCTATCTATCTCCACCAGCTGCTGGGGGCTCGCATCAGTCATCCTAGCTACTCAGGAGGCTGAGATCTGAGGATCTCAGCCAGACTACGGCAGAAATGTCGGTGAGGCTCTTCAATTAACCACCAAAAAAAGCCAGAAGTGGCACTGTGGCTCAAGTGGTAGAATGCTAACTTGAGCAAAAGAAGCTCAGAGACAGTGCACAGGCTCTAAGTTCAAGCCCCAAGACTAGCATCAAAGAGAGAGAAAAATGGGGAGGGGGAGGCACCATCCCCATTTTTCAGAAGGGAAAACTGGGGCCCACAAAAAAAGAGGTGAGCCTCACTTCTGCCCCACCCTGCCTGGTGAGTCAGCAGTCAGACCTGCACACTAGTCTATCAAGTCCCAGCCACACCCTGACTAACAACCTCCAGGCCTAGGCGTGTAAGGAGAGACCTGAGGCCTGGCCTGCTCCCTCGATCGGAAGCAGTGACTCCTTCAACCCACCCAGCCAGCCTGGTGACGCTGGTAATTACTGTGACTGCGGGAGAGTCACCACCGGACATCACCCCCTCCAGCCTCAGACAGGCCGGTTTTGTGGCCTGTCTCAGGCAGCACCCAGCACTGGTAGCTGCAGTGGGGGTGATGCCCACTGCTAGGTGGCCATCATGGATACTGGGAAGGCAGGGGTGTGTGTTGACTACAGAAGGCTCTGCAGATGGGAGGAATCACCCCTAGGCTTAGGTCTAGGGGTGACTGCCACATCATACCCGGAGAAAACAAGTTACCAGCTCCAGACCTCAGGCTCCCACAAGGGCCTCCTCCCCCTGAACTCTCTCCAGGAAATACATCACCCAGCCCCTCTGCAGGGGTCCTTCCCAGGTCCACTTGGGTGTCCAGCGTTGTCCCCTCCCTGACTTTGGATGTCATCAGAGCCTTCACCATGTGACATATTGGTGGATATACCACTTATCTGCTTGACTCACTAGCACTGTAAGTTCCTTGAAGCCAGAGACTTCCTCCACCTGATTGATCTGTGCCCTCCACACCACCACCGGTGAATAAAAAACAGAAACTGATGAACAAACCCATCTGAGATTGCCCCACTTGGAGATAAAGTCTAAGGCTCCAGGGTCTTCCACATCACCTTGGCTCTCTGACTGGGGCTGTTTTGTGCATTCGGGTCACTGTGCATGAAGCACCCTTTCTAGCTCCTACACGCTCTGGCGTTGGTGTCACATTGCACATGGCACCTGTCATACCAGCCTGGCTGGCTCAGAAACCATCCTGATCCCATGTTCTCAGCTTGCCCAATGCAGAAGGGAGCACCAAGAGGAGGAGGAAGGGGCTGGCATGGCTGGGTGCTCCCCAGAAGCCCAGAGGGCTCACTCCAAGGATAAGGATGGAGCAGGAGTCTCTAGAGCAGCCAGTCACCTATGTCCAAAACACCTGTCATTTCTTTGGTCCACCCTGCCTACCCTTTCCCTGCAGACTTCCCCAGGCCACGCCTCTCTTCTCTTCGTGGACCATACAACCTCTTCCCTCATCTGTACACACAGAGTATGTACTAGAAGCCTCTCACACTGCCTTGTTTTTTTTTCTTTGTTTTTTGATCAGTTGTGGGGCTTGAATTTGGGGCCTGGATGCTGTCCCTGAGCTCTTTTGCTCAAGGCTAGTGCTCTACCATTTTGAGCCACCGCACCACTTTTTGAGTGGAGATGAGTCTCACTCATGGGACTTTTCTGCCTGGGCTGGCTTTGAACGTCAATCCTGTGCCCAGCTGTCCTTGGTTCTTTACAAACACTAACTCCTTCATGGGTTTTCCAGCTGTGGCTAAAGTTCCTTTACGAAGAGATATTGGTTGGAGACACAGCTCAAGGTAAGAGTGCCTGCCTAGCAAACATAAGGTCCTGAGTTCAAACCCCAGTACTACAAAAAAGAAGAGAAAAAGAAAAGAGGTATCAGAGCCAGGACTCATACCTGTGATCCCAGCTACTTGAAAAGTGTAGAGTGAAGAATCACAATTCAAAGCCAAGGCAAGAGAGAGGGGGGGAGGGGAGGTGGGCATGGCAGGGGAGGGCATGATGGTACGCATTCACAATCCTCCCTAATGGGAGACACAAACTGGAGGACTGAAATCTGAGGCCATTCCTAGATAAAGTCTCAGATCCTAGAATGAATGAATGGATGGATGAATGAGACCCTTTTATAAATAAATAAGGGCTGGAGATGTGCCTGAGATGGTTGAGGCTGAGTTCAATTCCAAACACACACACACACACACACACACACACACACACACACTCAACTAAACCATCCCCTGCTAAAAAACCCTGACAGTGCTGTGAAAATCCAAGCTTCTGGCCACACCCCAGTCTGCCCAGCTCTCCTGCCTGGGGCCTGCTTGGCTCCTCCACCTTCCTCCCACCCCCTCCATACTTCCTCACAGCACCTATTATTACTTCAGCATCTTCAGATCTGGCCTGTCACCAGCTCTATGAAAAGGCCCTGAGCAGCAGGGCCTCCTTGCTGCCGTCCTGCCCCAAGGAGACTAGGCCTGACTCACCTTCCCTCGAAACTGTAGAACATCATCAGCCTCCTTTTACAAAGGTAGGAACAGGCCCAGAGAGGTTCGGTCAACCTATCCAAGGTCAGTCTAAGTGCTAAGACCAAGACTGATCCTAGGAGCCCTGTTTCTCCCCTTGCCATATTCCACTCCTCCAGAAGAAATGATTATGAAGTAAGTAACTCCTGCAGAAGTCTGGTAGATAAGCAAAAGAAATAGAAGCCAGGTAGGCTTCCTGGAAGAGGTGGCATGTTTTTTATCCTTCAACTATAGGAGCTAAGATGGCAACAAAAAGGACAAGAGTTGCACTGTGCTGAAAAGGTGGCTGAGCATGGCTGGCCCCTGCCAGAGGTGTCCTGCTCTCCAGCTGTATAACCTACTGTGGACACGCTATGTGCATTCCCAGGACCCCCAGACACCTACCGCAGGTCACTTTGCCTTCTGACGCAGGCCTGGCAGGCTCCTGCGGCAGCTGAGGGGTCGCTGGGCCCCCTCTCCGCCGCCGTCTACCACCGCTGCTTGGCCGGCCCCGACTCCGCCGCTGGCGCTTGGTTGGAGGGGAACCTGAGGATACAGAGTGGGTGGGCTGAGGATCAGCACCAAGACAGGGACCTGGATGGAGCTCAAGGCCACTCTCAGCACTGTGAGCCTCTCCAGAAATAGCCCTGTCTGGAAAGAGGGGAAGGTCACCCTCCATTGTCTGGAAAGGTGAGCAGGGAAGCCCCTCCACACCCCCCAGGCAGCAGGGGCCCCCAGGGCTGACTCTGGCAGGCTCACACCAGGAGATAGGCAGAAGTGCAGCCACTAGGGCCTCACTTGCAATGATGAGAACCTGAACTCAAGGGCTTGACACAAAGAAACAAAAGTAATTTCCAGGATAAATTAGCCAGGTATGGTAGTGCACACCTGTAATCCCAGCACTTTAGAGACTGAGACAGGAAGATCACACATTCAAGGCCAGTCTGAAGAAAAAGATTGTTTCTCAATGAACAAAGTAACAAATTTTCAGTACTGAAAACACACACACAGACAGACAGACCAAGAGAAGAAAGGAATAAAGCAAAGTACAAAATAAATGGCTCTAGTTTGTTGCACGTTGCTTAAGAAACGAGAGGAAGTGGCTCACGCCTGTAATCCTAGCTACTCGGGAGGCTGAGATCTGAGGATCGCGGTTCAAAGCCAGCCTGGGCAGGAAAGTTCATGAGACTCTTATCTCCAATTAACCACCAGAAAATAGAAAATGGAATTGTGGCTCAAAATGGTAGAGTGCTAGCCTTGAGCAAAAGAGCAAAGGGACAGTGCTGGGCCCTGAGTGCAAGCCCCACAACTGACAAGAAGAAAAAGAAGAAGAAACAAGAAAGAAGGAGGGGGGGAGAGAGAGAGAGAGAGAATGAATGAATGAAAAGAGAAAAGAAAGAAAGAAAGAAGGAAGGAATGAAGGGAGGGAGGGAGGGGGAAGGGAAGGAAGGAAGGGGGGAAGGGAAGGGAAGGAAGGAAGGGAGGGAGGGAGAGAAGATGAATGCCAAGCACTGGTGTCTCAGGATGCAATTTGAAAAAAGAGAGCCCAGCCAGGTGCTGGTGGCTCACAGGAGCTACTCAGGAGGCTGGGATCTAAGATCATGGTTCAAAGCCAGCCATGGCAGGAAAGTCCATGAGACCCAAGCACCAGAAAACCAGAAGTGGCACTGTGGTTCAAGTGGTAGAGTACTCACCTTGAGCTGAAGAGTTCAGGAACAGTGCCCAGGCCCAGAGTTCAAGCCCCATGACCGATGAAAGAACGAATGAAAGAAAGAGAAAAGAGAGAGAGAGGGAGGGAGGGAGAGAGGGAGGGAGGGAAAAATGAATAAAGAAAAAAAGCGCAAGGAGAAAAATCCTCCAGATTCCATCTACCACTCTAGAGTGGTAGAGTGCCAGCCAAGCGAGAAGTGAGGCCCTGAGTTCATACCACCAAAACAAAACAAGAAAACACAAAGATAAAGACAGGAGAAGAGACTTGGCACTAGCACTGTTCACACTTGTAATCCTACCTATTCAGGAGACTGAGATATGAGGATTGTAGCTGAAAGCCAGCCTGGATAGGAAACTCCCTGAGACACTTATCTCCAATAAACCACTCAAAAAAGCCAGAAGTGGTGCTGTGGCTCAAGTGGTGGAGTGCTCAACAGGAATGGAAGGAGAAAAGAAAAGAAACAACGTTGGTGGCTCATGCCTATAATCCTAGCAACTCAGGAGGCTGAGATCTGAGGATCACAGTTCAAAGCCAGCCCAGGCAGGAAAGTTCATGCAACTCATCTCCAAAACACCATTAAAAAAAAAAAACCCAGAAGTGGTGCTGTGGCTCAAGTGGTAGAGTGCTAGCCTTGAGCTGAAGAGCTAAGGGACAGCGCCCAGGCCCAGAGTTCAGGCCCCACAACTGGAAAGGAAGAAAGGAAGGAAGGAAGGGAGGGAGGAAGGGAGGAAGGAAGGAAGACCTACATAGTAGGTTCATTATTCTTGCAAGAGGAAATACTGAAAAGACACTTTAGGAGTTAATGAAACTGGTTACTTATCTGCTAGGAGGAACAATGGACAGAAATGATACATTTAGGATTATTTGGCTTTTAAGTTATATAACTCTTTGATACACTCAGACACCTAAAAGGAAACAAAAAGAAACAAACCATAAAACTAAACTAAATACAAACTGAAACAAATGAACCTAAGTGTATAGATAATTTGTAACAAGACCAGAGAAAAGAATTGTTGCAAGTAACTTGAAGAAGGTTCTGAGCATATATTTAGAGGAGTATGATTGGAGCCAGGCCCCTGATAAACAAATCTTGGCTTTAATTCAGTAGATAGTCAGCAGTGACAACTGGCTATCATTTGGTGCTTTGTTACTGTAAAGGTAAGCAAGAGAGTGAGTGAGTGAGTGTGTGTGTGCGTGCTCGCACTCCTGTCCTGAGACTTTTTTTTTTGGGGGGGGGGGGAGGAAGGGTTGGTCGTGGGGCCTGAACGCTGGGCCTGGGCACTGTCCCTCAGCTCTTCAGCTCAAGGCTAGCAGTCTACCACTTGAGCCACAGCGCCACTTCCAGCTTTTTCTGCTTTTGTGGTGCTGAGGAATTGAACCCAAGGCCTCATGCATGCAAGGCAAGTACTCTACCACTGAGCCGATTTCCCAGCCCCAATAGGAACTTTTTGAAGTACAGCCTCTTGCTCTATTTTCTGTAGAGTGAAGAAAGCACACATGCTCAACACCCAGATGTCTGTCTCAATACCACAGCCTCTAAAAGAATCAGGCTCCTGAAGCTGGATGCTGATGGCTCATGCCTGTAATCGTAGTTACTCGGGAGGCTGAGATTTGAGAATTGTAGTTTGAAGCCAGCCTGGGCAGAAAAGTCCCCATGAGACTTTGTTTGTTTTTGTTTTGGCCAGTTCTGGGGTTCAAAATCAGGGCCTGTCCCTAAGCTTCTTTTGCTGAAGGCTAGCACTATACCACTTGAGCCTCAGGGAGACTTTCTGCTTTTTCTGTTTATGTGGTACTGAGGAATCAAACCCAGGGCTTCATGCATGCAATCACCCTATCACTAATCCACATTCCCAGCCCCAAAATGTTTTCTTTTTTTTTTTTTTTTTTTAGGGCTGAGAACAGGACTCGAACTTGGTGACTCATGCTTCTGCTCATTGGCTAGTGCTCTACCAACTAACTGGGTCATACCTCCATAAGACTCTTATCCCCAATGAACTATGCACTGGCCTTGAGCACAAAAGGGCTCAGGGACAATGCCCAGGCCCTGAGTTCAAGCCCCAGAACCAGCAAAAAAAAAAAAAAAAACCAGGCTCCTGAAGAAGCAGCTAATTGTAGGGCTGGAAGAAGTGAAATGCAAGGTGAACCCAAGCCCAGTCCATGGGACAGAGCAGGAGGCACTCAAAGAATGATGGACATGTCCAAAAGACATAGTGCTTAACCCAGAATGATTAGCTACAACAAGGTAAATAAATAATGAGTAATTCTATAATGATATGAATACCTACTTGGACAAAGGATGAGCCCTAGTACCCTCCCATAGATTACTTAACCATAACAGGAGAGAAAGGTGCCTTATGATGTGCAAATGTGGTGAACATCACCTTAACCAAGGGATCCAATCCCCCACTCACAATGAGCCAGCCAGGCTCTCAGGCCGCCCGCTGAGCTCCGGGAGGAAGGCAACAGCCCCAGCCAAGGGGTATCCTGTCAAACATGCATAACCTGAATCCCAGCAAGCCTCCAGACCTAATCCTCACTCCACAGGAAATATAGGGAACCAAAAGATGAGTTAAATGACACTATTAGGAAATAACCAGACACATCAGAAATAATCACATCCTACATGAATCTGATAGAATGGACGAGTCAGAAAAGAAAAAGGGGCCAGGTGCTGGTGGCTCATGCCTATAATCCTAGTGACTCAGGTAGCTTTAGATTTGAAGATCGTGGTTCAGTCCATGCAGAAAAGTCCCCATGAGACTCTGATCTCCAATTAACCACTCAAAAGCTGGAAGTGGAGCTGTGGCTCAAAGTGGTAGAGCACTAGCCTTGAACCAAAGAGTTCAGGGACAGCACCTGGGCCCTGAGTTCAAAGCCTCACAACAACAACAACAAAAAAAAAAACATTGAGGCAAAGGAGAGACTGAATACATTAATTGGGGCATGGCAATTAAACCAATTAGAGACATTGGACATGAATAAAGCTCAGAAGCATGTTCAGTGAGGACAACCAGGTACAGTAAAATACCTACAACATAATATCACTTAAGTAAACATGAAGCCATATTGTTTGTTCCTCAGGACACAGCATCTTTCTGTAGCAATAATAAACACAGACATGCCACAAACATGAGACATGAGACAAGATGACCCCTTAGGTTACTTCCTTGATGGGCCATGACATAGGAGGTTTAGCAGGGTTCAGAAAGAAAGGGGGGGGCTCACCTGTGTCCCACTGGTCCTGCTGAGAATCTGAGGAACTGCTTGACTGCCGCCGACGCCGGCAGCTACCTTCAGTCCTTTTAGAAGAAGAACTGGAACTGCCATAGTTATAGCGCTCCGGAGATACTGGGGAAAGAGAGATGAAATTAGCATTCCCAGCCTCCAGCCCCTCCCAGGCCCAGCCCCCAAAATTCCCCCCTGGAAGGATGACTGGACAACCAGGTGCCTAAGTCCTCAAACATTCACTCCTTCTCAAACACCTTGTACCCAGACGACTCCCAAGATAGGACTTGTCACCTCCTGGTGCCACTTAATCCAGGATCCCTGAGAAACAGGCCTGTCACACCCACCCACACCCACACCCACACCCCCACACACACATTGATTACCCCTGGCTCACCTTGCAGCTCTAAGAAGCAAGCAGGTGTTTGTTTGCTCCAGGCAACTCTTATCTTTTCTTCTAAGACTCTGAGCCTCACACCTATGTCCCCCCAAATACTATATCAGGATTCCCTCTGAAGGCCTGAATTCTGATGATTCTAACTCCACAGGCTTACTCTGAGCCAGCAAAACCCATAACTTCCCTCCACAGCCTTGTCACTACATTTCTAGTAAACCAGACAAGGTCCCAACAGTCTAGGCAGCACAGGGCTTGCAACAGCCTTCAGCTCCTCCCTCACCAGTCCTTCCTTCTCCAGGATAAAGGCCCTCAGCTCTATTGAGATAAGCCAGGTAGGTTTGAAACCTGGCTCCACACTTTCTGTTATCTGCAGATAACCTTGTGTGGCAAGCCTCCCTCCTCCCTCTCCATGTTGTGGCTTCAGTCCACTCTTTGATGGTGCATGTCGGCCTCTGGAATGCCAAGCTCATCCCCACCTAGAGCTTGGGGGCTTGCCTTTCCCTCTACTGGGGATTTTTCTCCCCTGAAATGGATACAGGGCTGGAAGTGCAGCCTCGCTCCAAATGTCATCTCAGAAAGCTCTTCCTTCGCTGACATCAATATAAAACATTATAGTATGGCATTCTATCCCTCATCACATCTACAAGTTACTTGTTTCTCATCCAATTCCTCCGCTACAAGTCCATTTCAAAGAACAAACATCTAAACCCATCATCTTACAGCCTCTGTCCCAGGCAAGCAAGATTCAGTGAAGCAAGCTGCTTAACTTCTTCTGGACCTGTTTTCCTCCCTGTACAGCCCGATAGGGGTGGGGGAACCATAGCAGGACTTCCTTGTGGAATTTACTGAGAAGGTACAAGAGGTCACAGTTCATGTGAAGGGTTCTGTTCTGGAATAAAACCAAACTTCCTCCATCCACAATGCTGGCGATCGGATAAGGTCACTCTTCCTAAATTAGGCCCTTTGTGTTTCTCACTGGAGAACGAAGTCAGAACGGCCGCTGAGCGTCTGCTGGGAGCCAGGCCTTCTCCCCCACCCCACCCCACCCCCGTGGGAAGCCTGGCCCCCTCCTGTTCAACCTTACCTGGCCGCCGCCGCTTGCGGGCCAGGTGCGGGAGCAGGTCGTGGCGGGCCAGCACCCGCAGGAGTTGGCCCAGCAGCCTCAGGTTGCTCTCGTCACACTGACCACGACGCTCCAACTCCAGTAGCAATTCTAGGCCGCTGCGAGCACGGGCCAGCCCACCGGCGGCGCCGGGGGTCTCATCCAACAGGAAAGCCAGAAGCTCCAGCTCACATTCGGTCAGTTGTCCGCCCACAACCTCGAACATACGGTGAAGCGACAGCATGCCGTAGTAATCCAAACACTCATCCTCCTCCCAGCTCGGGGCCGGGGTCGACCCGGACTGCGCCATTCCCGGGAGGGGGAGGGGTGCGGAACAAGTTCAGAACCAAGGCCTAGAACCCACACACACGGCAGGGAGGAGGCAGCGGTCAGCAATGCACAGGCCTAGACCTCACACGGGCCAGGGAGTGTCTCCCACGCGGTTCCCCCCCCCCGACGGGACCACCCCACACACACACCCCCCACCAACCATCCCAGTGTCCCCCTGCCCCGGAAGAAAATGGTATCGCCCGAGGTCCCCTTAGTAACGGGTCCGAGACGCCAGACCACCGCTTGGTCCTCCGACCAGTCGAGGCGGCCAAGCCCAGACGCTCCTCTCTCGCTCGCTCTCTCTACCGAGGTACCTCCCCACCTAGCTCCCGAACCATCGCAGAGATCTGCGCGCACGCAGCCATGCCTTGTTTACATCCCGTTCCGGGGCACCTTGTCCCCGCTGCCCCGGTGACTTTGGGTCGGCACCGTCCAGATGTGGCCCTGGGCTCAGGCCAGTTGAGCAAATGTCATCTGGCTAGCCCCGAGTGGCACCGACTCCGAGTCACCCACCATCTCCTACCAAGTGGGACCAGCCAAGGCCAATCCTATGCCCCACACGGTCCGAATCCGACCCCTCCACCTTGGGAAAAGGGTGGTGGGCCCACCCTCGCCCCGGCACCAAAATGGTGCCGTCTACCCGCCGCCAAATCTCCCTATTTGTAGGCCTCTTTAGATCCTCACCGGAATCCGGCGTCCGATGGACTCCCCGGGCGACGGCCGCAGCCACTTGTTTTGGATCTTTCTGGCACCTTCTCTATTATTACGCCTGCGTCACTTAGCTCCTCCTCCTGCCCTCCCCCCCACAACTCGCGCAGGTGCGACCGCCACGCCCCCTCTGCGCAGGCGCAGGAAGAGCCCCCAAGCCCCGCCCCCAACCGAAGTGCCGGAGTTTGTCTGTATTGCGCTTGCGCACAGAGCCTTGCTGTGTCGGACGCTCCCAATGGCTGGGTCCCTGTACTTGAGCCACCTGGATGGGGCGGGGCGGGGCGGGGCGGGGCGGGGCGGGGCGGAGGGGGGGGTAGGGGAGGAAAGGGGGAGGGGGGAGCGGCTCCTGTTATCCCCCATCACAACCTATAGGAATTTATCCATCTCGAAGACTAGGTATTCCTCCCCTCATCATTTATACGCTCACATTTTACCCCTGTCCCCCACTTGCCCGTGGAAAGGACCACTCACCAACTCATGTCACTCAGTAACTCCCAGGACCTGGACACTCGTCCCTCAGCAACCAGAAACGTAAATCCAAACTGTGCTGTCTCATAATCCTGGACTTTAGGGAATGCACCCTCACCCAGAGAGAACCCCTCCTCCTCTCCCCTCCCCTCATACCCCCTGCATCTATAAATTCCTTCCCTTGACTGGAACCAGGGTTCTTCCCCATTCTCTAACGCGTCCTTGCAAATAGCGGTAAATCCCTCCACCACGACATGCACCTCTCGAAGGAGCCTATCACGACCACGACCCCACCCCAGGGTTCTAAAGGCCCCTCCATAAACCCCTTCCCATCCCCTTCGCTCTCTGCCCTCCAGCGCCACCCAGGTGCTCTCCTCCCTAACCTGCACCAAGGAGAGCAAGTCTGTCCCTGAGGGACGGCTGTGGCATGTGTGCATCCTCTGCCACGGGGCCTGGAGCGTGACAACCGCTCTGCCACCTCCACTTAGGTGACTCAAGGTCAGGCCTGGCACGTGCCTGAGGCAAAGTCTCCTTTCCCCAGCCGCTTCACACCCCTGAATTATCTCCCCTTGAGAGGCAGGAGACCTAGGTCCTGGCTGGGGATTCACTCAGTACTAGCTGTGCTCTCAGGCGGCAGCAATGACCTTGGAAAAATCTCCTCTGAACCTCAGTTTCTCCATCTGTTAAATAGATGAATAGCAATGGTCCCGTTTGGAAGCATAGTGGTGAAGTAGGAGCAGCCCTGTAAATGACTAACATTCGATCAAATGAAGAGAAGAGGGCGCCGAAGAGGGCGCCTGGTGACTCACAGCTGTCATCTAGCTACTCAGGAGGCTGAGATCCAAGGATCACGGTTCAAAGCTAGCCCAGGCAGGAAAGTCCATGAGACTCTTATCTCCAATAAACCATTAGAACACCGGAGTAGAAATGTGGCTCAAAGGGGTAGCTAGCCCTGAGCAAAGGAGTTCAGGAACAGTGCCCCAGCCCTGCAATCAAGCCTCGGTACTGGCACAAAAAGGAGGGAGGGGGAGGGAAAAGCAATCTTAGTAACTGGGAAGGGTTATGTCTGTTAGATGGGTTATACTGGCTATCCAGTATAACGTTTTGAGGGGGGTAATAACAACCAGTCCCTTCTACAGCTTTTGAGATGGATGTGTTTAAAGCCCACTGCACTTATGAGCAAAACCGAGGCTGGTAAAGATGAAGTATCTCAAGTATGTCTGGCTTCAAAGTTGAGCTCTTAGAGATAGTCTCTTCAGCCATGAAATAACACTTCTGGGTGGATATTACTGAAACAGATTATCGGCAAGTACGAAAAAGAGAACGATGAAACCTATAGAAATTGTATTAGGAAGGGGAGAGGAGAGCAATAAAGAAAAAATATAGCCGGAGAGGGGAGAGAATAAAAAGGAAAGAAATGACACCTCCGTCAGTTTTTCCGCCGCTAACCTCCCTCTAGGGACCCTCGCTCCGTAAGGGCGCCCACTTCACTGAACTTTCAAACTGGGCAGAAAAGCAGCAGGCAGCCAAGGAGAACTGCGCAGGCGCGTCTCCTCGTCCCAGGGCCCGCCCACAGGGGCGCAGACGTGTGTGCGTGGAGAAACTCGCTGAGCCCCGCCTGAGCGCCAACACGCAGGCGCGAGAACGCGTGCCCTGCGCTGCTGTCTCTGATTGGCTATTACGAGCAAGGGCGCCGCCCAATGGGAGGCGTGGATAGTAAGGGGTCCTACACGCCCGGGAGCAGAGGGTCTGTGTCAAGAGAGCGACCAGGGTTGTTGGAGATCAGAGAGGTGGGTGCGGGCGCCGTCGGGCGGGTGGGAAAAAGGGCGCTGGGCGTATGGAAGAGGGCAGAAGGGAGAAAGCAAGGGAGACACGAGGGGATCAAAGAGCTTTGGGGCCTGCGTTCAGGGCAGGAGCCCGGGAGGGTGGAAAGAGGGTGCTCTTTCCTGTGTCCCCCCCGGGGGTCGGGGGCCTTGGTGGAGCTTCTAGGGCATGCAAGACCCCAACTGGGCCCCGTCACCTCCTGCAGCGACCCCGATCGGGCAGCCAAGGAGAAGAGTCTGGCAAGAAGAAAAGGGGTTGTGTGGTGGGAAAGTTGAAACTTTCAGGCCTCCTGATAGGTTCTTTTTTCCTGGAAGTACTTATGTATGAAAAAGCCCCCTCTCCCCTATTCTTTCCCTCCAGAGGCTCATAATTCAGGATTTGGGAATGAGAAATGTAAGATGTTGGAAAATATAAATTTTGAATCCCTGGCCCACCTTCCAAAAGAGAGACATTTATTGGGGGAGGGGAGGGTATTTTGCGCAAGCTCTAGGGGACTGAAAAACAGGAGAACACCCTCGCTGGTCAAATCCAGAAAGATTCTGTATGGAATTGTGAACAGGATCCTGGCCACTCAAACAATACATTAAAAAAAATGGGAAAAAATGGATTTTGAATAGATTCGGAAAGTTTAGCCTAAGATCACTTAGTGAATTATTTCTCCATGGGATATTTATTTGGGCATGAACTAAAAGCAGAGCCCTGTGCTGGTGGTGAGTGATGGAATACACGATAGAACAGAGAAGTTGGTCTGGAAGAAAGGGAGTGGGCACAAGGTTAAATCCCCAAGGCCTTGCGTTTCCTTACTCATTTATTAAATATTTTTATATACCTGCTGTGCTGGTCATGATTCTTGGCACTGGAAATGTGTCAGTAATGAAACAGGCTAACCTCTGCCTTCTGGGAGCTGAATATGAACAACTTCTATATATAGAATGATAAGTAAACCTCCACTTGTCTCTAGCAGTAACAGATGAGATGCAGAAGAGGTTAAAACAAAAACAAATACCACTGGGCACTGGTGGGTCTTGCCAGTAATCCTAGCTACTCAGGAGGTTGAGATCTGAGGATCATGGTTTTTTTGTTTTGGGTTTTTTTTTTTTTTTTTTTGCCAGTCCTGGGGATTGAACTCAGGGCCTGAGAACTATTTCTGAGCATCTTTCTGCTCAAGTCTACCACTTAAGCCACAGCGCCACTTTTGTCTTTTTCTGTTTTTGCTTTTGTTTTGTTGGTTGTGGGGCTTGAACTCTGGGATTGGGCGCTATCCCTCAGCTCTTCAGCTCAAGATGAGCACTCTACCGCTTGAGCCACAGCGCCATTTCCGGTTTTCTAGTGGTTTATTAGAAATACGAGTCTCACGGACTTTCCTGCCTGGGTTGGCTTTGAACCATGATCCTCAGATCTCAGCCTCCTGAGTAGCTAGGATTACAGGCATGAACCACTGGTGCCCTGCACTTTTTCTGTTTATGTGGTGCTGAGGAATCGAACTCAGGGCCTTGTGCTTGCTAGGCAAACACTCTACACTAAGCCACATTGCCAACCCTAAGGATCATGGTTTGAAATGAACCTAGGCAGGAAAATCCATGCTGTTATTTTTTATTTTTTCCATGGGGCTTGAATAAGGGCCTGGGCACTATCCCTGAGCTTCTTTTGCTAAAGGCTAGTACTCTTTCACTAAGCTACAGTCCCATCCCAGCAAATGCATTTTATTTTTGCCAGTACTGGAACTTGAACTCAGGGCCTGGGCACTGTCCTTGAGCCTCTCTGTGCTCAAGGCAATTGCTCTACCACTTGAGCCACAGCGCCACTTCCGGCTTTTTCTGTGTATGTGGTACTGAGCAATCGAACCCAGGGCTTCATGCATGCTAGGCAAGCACTCTACTACTAAGCCACATTCCCAGTCCCCCCAGCAAAGGTATTTTTAGTATTTCATCATATACAAAGTATTTTTAAATAATTTATCTCAATTGACACAGTGACCCAGACAGAAGTATGTTATTGAGCTGGGTGCCGGTGGTTCATGCCTGTAATCCTAGGTACTCAGGAGGCTGAGATCTGAGGATCAAGGTTCAAAGCCAGCCCGGGCAGGAAAGTCCGTGAGATTCTTATCTCCAATAAACGACCAGAAAACCGGAAGTGGTGCTGTGGCCCAAGCGATAGAGCACTCGCCTTGAGCTGAAGAGCACAGGGACAGCGCCCAAGCCCAGAGTCCAAGCCCCTCAACGGACAAAAAAAAAGCATGTTATTGAGTTATGTTTGTTGTTGTGGTTGGCAGCCATGGGGCTTGAACTCAGGGTCTGGATGCTGTTCCCGAGCTCTGTCACTCAAGGCTAGTACTCTACCACTTTGATTCACAGCTCCACTTCATGAAATTCTTTTTTTTTTTTTTTTTGGAGTCCGGTCATGGGGCCTGAACTCTGGGCCTGGGCGCTGTCCCTCAGCTCTTCAGCTAAAGGCTAGCACTCTACCACTTGAGCCACCTTCCCAGCCCTTCATGAAATTCTTTTTTTTTTTTTTTTGAGTCCGGTCATGGGCCTGGGCGCTGTCCCTCAGCTCTTCAGCTCAAGGGGAGCGCTCTACCACTTGAGCTACAGCACCACTTCCGGTTTTCTGGTGGTTTATTGGAGATAGGAGTCTCACGGTCTCCCCTGCCCAGGCTGGCTTTGGACCGCGATCCTCAGATCTCAGCCTCCTGAGTAGCTAGTATTACAGGCGTGAGCCACCAGTGCCCGGCCCTTCATGAAATTCTTATCTCCACTTAACTACCAAAAAGCCAGAAGTGGAGCTGTGGCTCAAGTGGTAGAAAGCCAACCTTGAGCAAAAAATGCTAAGGGACAGTGCCCAGGCCCTGAGTTCAAGCCCCATGGCTGCCAACCACAACAACAAACATAGCTCAATAGCATACTTCTGGCTGGGTCACTGGCACACTAAAAAGAGAGAAGAAAACTTGGAAGAGCAAATAGCAGTATAAGAAAATCAGAGCCACAAACCTAGACTTGTAGTAGTACCCAGGACTGTTTTAATCAGGACCTGGATACTCCTCCATTGGAATGCCTCCCACTTCTAATGCCAACCAGGAACCTAAATCTCAACTTTTGGAGAACTTCAAGCAATGGCTCTTGCTAATAACCTTGATCAAAAAACCAGGGCTTTGTAGTCAGTTCTGCTTTCAATCCCATTTCTCACCTGTGGAAACAATTTCAGAGAGAGCACATATGCAAGCAATGGAGCTCAGATGCAGGCTGAGAGAAATCTGGTTCCAGGGCCTTAAATACTTTGCTAGAGGCTTTGCACAAAGAGGAAACAGCACCACACAGGCAAAGGTTGTGAGGCAGGAAGAAATACAACGTATTCTCAGAAAAGAGTGTGACTGGGCCTCTCGGAGAGGAGAGCAGCAGGAGAGGCCAGCCTTCTGAGTGCTCACTGTCTCCTGCAGGTGCTTGGCTGCTGTGGCTGAGATGACGTTCAGAGACGCAAGGTCCTGGAATATTAAGGCAGATACTTTGGACTAAGATTTGGTGTGGTGGTTGGCAGAGACTGGTAAGTAATGGGGTAAGCAAGGGAACTCCTCGAGATCGCCCACCTTGCCTCGGTTCTGGTGTGTCACTGGTCTGTGCCTCTTTCTCCAGGCACTGCCTTCCCCGAGATGGCTGAGGTGGTGGCTGAGGTGGCTGAGATGCTGACCCCCTCACAAGGGGCAGTGGAGATGTCCACGTCTCTGTCAGGGGAGCTGGCAGAGATGGCCACAGAGGTGACGGAGATGACCCCTGGGGAGGCCCTTGCTTCCTCCCTCTTCTTCCAGCACCACCAGTTCATGTGCTCCGAGTGTGGCAGCCTGTACAACACCCTGGAAGAAGTCCTCTCTCACCAGGAGCAGCATGTGGCCACTGTGTCAGAGGAGGAAGCACTGACCACGCATGACCTAGGTCTGGAGCCTGAGCTGGTGCCAGCCACCGAGGAGGGGCCTTTCCAATGTGGAGAGTGCAGCCAGCTCATCCTGTCCCCCAGTGAGCTTCTGGCCCACCAGGATGCCCACCTCCAGGAGTCTGCAAGCCAGATCCAATACCAGTGCGGGGATTGCCAGGAGCTCTTCCCCTCACCCGAGCTGTGGGTAGCTCACCGAAAGGCTCAGCACCTTTCAGCTCCTGCGGCAGAACCGCAGGTGCCACCTCCTTTGCCTCCCCCTCCTCCCCCACCCACTATCAAGATGGAGCCCTATGAGTGTCCTGAATGTTCCACCCTCTGTGCCACCCCTGAGGAGTTCTTAGAGCATCAGGGTACCCACTTTGACTCCCTGGAGAAAGAAGAACGCAACGGGTTAGAGGAGGAAGAGGAGGAGGAGGAAGAGGAAGAGGAAGGGACAGAGGAGGACGAGGACCTTGCTGATGACGCCACAGGCAATGGTGACAAGTCCACGGATGGCCGGGCTCAGGGCTGTGGGGATTGTCCCCCGCGTTGTCCCACATCAGGGGCAGGGCGGCGACACCGGCGGGCATCACGTGGGCCGACGTCCGCCAGCCACCCTTTCCACTGCAGCCAGTGTCAGCGCAGCTTCAGCTCTGCAAACCGCCTGCTGGCCCACGGGCGGGCCCACGTGGGAGGCACTCACGAGTGTACCACCTGCTCCAAGGTGTTCAAGAAGGCGGCCTCTCTGGAGCAGCACCAGCGGCTGCACCGCGGGGAGGCCCGCTACCTCTGCGTGGACTGTGGCCGCGGCTTCGGCACGGAGCTCACCCTGGTGGCCCACCGGCGGGTTCACACCGCCAACCCACTGCATCGCTGTCGCTGTGGCAAGACGTTCAGCAACATGACCAAGTTCCTCTACCACCGGCGGACCCACGCTGGGAAAAGCGGGACCCCTACCGCGGCGGCAGCCAGCATCTCCCCGAGCCCTGCGGAGGCCCCGCCCCCGGCCCCGCCCCCTGCTGCCCAGCTGCCCTGCCCGCAGTGCTCCAAGTCCTTCGCCTCCGCCTCGCGGCTCTCCCGGCACCGGAGAGCTGTGCACGGGCCCCCCGAACGACGGCACCGCTGCGGCGTTTGTGGCAAGGGCTTCAAGAAGCTGGTGCATGTACGCAACCACCTGCGGACACACACAGGCGAGAGGCCTTTCCAGTGCCACTCGTGTGGCAAGACCTTCGCTTCCTTGGCCAACCTGAGCCGCCACCAGCTGACCCACACCGGCGTCCGTCCCTACCAGTGCCTGGACTGTGGCAAGCGCTTCACCCAGAGCTCCAACCTGCAGCAGCACCGGCGGCTGCACCTGCGGCCCGTGGCCTTCGCCCGCGCCCCCCGCCTCCCCATCACGGGTCTCTACAACAAGAGCCCCTACTACTGCGGGACCTGCGGCCGCTGGTTCCGTGCCATGGCGGGCCTGCGGCTGCATCAGCGAGTCCATGCCCGCGCCAGGACTATGACACTGCAGCCCCCCAGATCGCCGCCTCCTGCCCCGCCGCCGCCCCCGGAGCCACAGCAGACGATCATGTGCACGGAGCTGGGGGAGACCATCGCAATCATTGAGACGTCCCAGCCCCTGGCACTGGAGGATACACTGCAGCTGTGCCAGGCTGCACTGGGTGCCAGTGAAGCCAGCGGGCTGTTGCAGTTGGACACGGCCTTCGTGTGACCCCGACGAAGAGCCCTGAGGAAAGGGTCTGGTTGTAACAGCAAGGGCAGGTACCTCTGGGGGTGGGGTGGTGGGAGGGTAAAGAACCTTCTGGCAAGCTGGTCTGGCACCCATCATGTGCCAGGATCCACCCATAGCCTCCTCTACCGAGTCCTCAGAAGAGCCCTGCCAGGTTTCTCTGCCTGAGGGGAAACTGAAGCTGAGATGTGAAGTGATCTGTCCCAGGTCACCCTACTTCCTTGCCAAGTGGGGTTTGCCAAAGCTCTTTGCACCACATTGTTCTGGCCTAGCAACATCAGGTAACTATGTGCCAGGTGTGTGCCGGGCACACTCATATACCTCTTCAGATGCTCTGCTTGTCCCCCCATCCCTTGCCTTCTCTGGACTTTTGAGCACCCAGGGCATAGCTCTTGGCCACTATCTCAACTCTGGCCACGTGGAAGGAAATCTGTAAGTACCTGGGGACTCAGCTTCCAGTCTGGGTGTTGCTGGAGACCCAGGAATGAGCCAGGCACAGGCTCTGCCCTCAGGCATGCTTGGTCTGGTAGGCGCACACACAAGTATAGACAGCTTGCTCTCTGACGGGTGTCTTATTGCTTCATTCAGCCTGCGTGTGCTAAGGCCTCTCCTACATAGGCTAGGCAGTGCTGTGGGTCAGAGATGAGTCACACCTGAGGATTCCCTGGGCTGTGGTGGCTTGTGCAGGCTCCTCCCAGACTAGGGACAGTATTCTAGGTAGGAGGCCAAGAGTACAAGACACTGCCCAGAGGGAGTCCCAGAAATAGGAATCAATCTGCTAGTCAAAAGCACATTCCAGACAGACAACAAACACAAGAGAAGGGTGAGTCCTTGGTATATTTGAAGAACATCTAATTATCCACAAGTGCAGTAAATGAACACTTGACTGCTTGCAATGGCAGGCACTGCACTTAGCCCTGTACAGTTCTAGGATCCCAGCAGGCTGAGGTACGTCATGTCATCCCTGTCATACAGGTGAAAGCACAGGACAGAGATTTGCCGAAGGCCTCACAGCCTGGCAGAGGCATTGTGACATTTGTACTAAGTGACTCCTGAAGGCCAGGATTGCACCGTGGTGGTGTCATGATGAATTAGACCTGAAACCTGCATGAAGACTAGAACTCATCCTAACTGCAGGAAAGTACTAGTTAGGATTTGAGGGAGCCTCGTAAGATCAAAGGTCTTTGGGATAGGATTCCCAGTTTTTTCAGAGGGAGAACTTCCCTAAAAGGTTGCAGATCACAGTAGGTCAGTGTGAGGCAGGCTTCCCTTCCCAGCCTATAGACCCTGATGCTTCAGCAGGCCAAGTAGAATGAATGCTGCTGAGACGGGTTGTCCAGGGAGGCTAAAAGGCCTTGGGAGTTAGGCTGAGTAATTCAAGGTCTTGTGGGGGGGTGGGAGGAGTAAGGTCTGCCAGGGGTCAGTGAAAGGCTAGAGATGTCCAGGAAGGGAAAATGTCCAGGCAGGGAACTATGGGGGTAAGAGGAAGGTAAGGACACCTTCAGTGACCATAGTCCACACCTGGCCAAGACCTGTTTTGCTCCTTGTCTAATCTGCGTGCTCGATGAATCCATTTTACAAATGGTCAAGTCAGGCTGATGTTGAGCAACACAGGGATAAAGTCCATGCTGGGCAGTAAGAAGATGCAGAAGTTGGGGGAAAGCCAAGCTATTCATTCCTACCATGAGCGGGTCACCTGTATCTTCCAACTGGGAGTCTGCAGATCTGGATGTTTTCCCCAGGACCAGCCCTGTGTTTCAGTCTTGACTCTGCTATTTAAGTTCTATTTAAGGCCTCAACCCCTCCCATCCCCAACCCTCCCACTAGTCTGGGGGTACACATCCCCCCTCCTTAAGCAGTAGATGATTTATACATTGTCACAGGTGGGTCTGTGCAGGCCTTTACCATGCTCAGGCTCCTAGGAGAGCAGCAGAGGGAAGCACTCAAGTGCCAAGTTAGGCCTGGAGTCAGGGCCAGACCTCAGGTCTCCCAGTATTCCCCTGCCTGAAATACAACTCATTCCTCACCCCTGCAGCCCTCTCCAACCCAACACCTCTTCACCCCGGGGTGGGGAGGGGGAGACAGGCAGCCAGGCAGGAAGCAGGTTTTCATGCCAATAATTTATTGAACAGCGGTCTGTACACAGGCAAACCTTACTGTGGAAACTAAGACACCAGGGGTTCTCCCCACTCCCCTGGCCCTCCAGGGTGGGGAGAGGAGAGAGAAGGCCTTGGGAGCAGAGGACAGAAGGGGAGATACAGCTGTAGGCAAAGGGGGCAGGTTGGATGGTGCGAATCGACGTTTTCTTTAAGAAAAAAATTATAACAATCTATTTACACCCAGGGGGCCAGGGAAGAGGAGATGGGCTGGGCTTGGTCTATTTACAAGGGACACTGGAGGGAAAGAGGTGGAGGCCTGGGGGGAAGGGAGGGAACCAAGGGGGTAGGAGGTCTTCATTACCCCCAACCCCCATCCTTCTTTCCTTCTCTTCCCTCCCCAAAACCAGTTAAAATCCTCTTAAAGAGCCCACCAGAAGTGAGGCTGGTAAGGGAGGGACTAGAGGTGGGGGTAGGGACTCATTTGCCTCTGCCTCTAGTCTAGGGGCCCAGCCAGGGAAGGAGCTTGATGGGCTATGGCCCCCCCTTCCCAGCCCCACTTGGGGCTCCCAGATGGATGTGGAAGGGTAATTGGTGGGGCCCTCAGGAAGAGTTACTGAGGGCAGGTGCAGTTTCAGCCGACTGCCAGTCTGGGCTGGTCTGAGTCTCGGTTAAAGCTGAAGGAAGGGGAGGGAAAAAGTGGACAATTAGCCTTAGCCTTCAGGAGTCACTCCACCCCACTCCACCACTGGCAAAAGTAAGATCTCCTGTAATACTGCAATGAAAGTTGGAAACTGTCACTTAGGTCCCAGGTTGCAAACTCAGATGCCAAAGGGCTAGCCTAAGGATGCAATAGCTCAAACAAAGCAAGCAAGAAGGGGCTTGGACAGCTGGATACAGCTTCCAGCTGGAGGAAGAACAGACTTGCTGCTGCCCAGTCTGATTTTCTTCCCCCAAAAGAAACAGGAAAATTGATTTTTTTTTAACCTAAAATGGCACAATTTTCAAGTGTGGGCAACTCTTTATTTGGTCAAGCCAAGCATAAACAGATTTCTTTGGTTTGTAGTTAGCATTTAAATACCAACATATGCAGCCGGGCACCATGGCTCATGCCTATAATCCTAACTACTCAGGAGGCTAAGATCTGAGGATCACAGTTCAAAACCAGCCCAGGCGGGAAAGTCTGTGAGACTCCAATTAACCACCAGAAAACTGGAAGTGGCTCTGTGGCTCAAGTTAAGTGCTTGCCTTGAGCTGAAGAGCTGAGGGACAGTGCCCAGGCCCAGAGATCAAGCCCCATGACCAACAAGGAAAAAAAAAACATGCAATACTGCTCTGACACTGTTGCAAATTTTGCCAGCAAAATGTCAACAGATTTCAGTTTAAGCTCAGAGCTAGTGGCTCACACCTGTAATCCTAGCTACTCAGGAGGCTGAGATCTGAGGATCATGGTTTGAAGCCCACCCAGGTAGAAAAGTGTGAAACTCTAATCTCCAACTAACAGCAAAAAAAAAAAAAAAAGCAGAAGTGAAGGGTATGGCTAATGTGGTAAAGTGCCAGAGTGCCAGCCTTGAGCTCAAGCTCTGATACTGGCACCAAAACCAAAAGTCAACAGATTAAAATACCTACTGGAAATTCCAGGATTGAACCCCACAGCTCATTCCCCTCCCCAAATTCAGAAGGGCTGCTTTAACCTTCAACCAATGGCCCCCACTTACCTTGTGAGGATGGGGTGAGGGAAGTAGGGCCAGGTGGGGACCTCAACTGAGGAGGGATGAGAATGGCATTGAGAGACGGTTGAATGGACAGTTCTAGAGAGGAATTGACATGTGCAGTCAGGGGGAAGGCAGGCTGGCTGGAGACCCAGTTATGATTACTCAGGGGCATCTAACAACCAAGCTGTAAGGCTAGTTGGTGGGCACTTTTAGGCAGACTCTAAGTGTAAAACTGGGAAGAGCCTAGCACCCCGCAGATCACAGTGCTGCTTCAGCAGCTTCGACTGCTCCCAGGTTGGGGGTGGGGGGAGACATCTTCCTACGCCCTAGGCCTGCCTGTACCCACTCAGCTCCCACCTCCAGTACCAAGCCTCTCCTCTGTCAATCCCTTTGTGACTGCCACACCCACTCCACAGGTGCCAACCTGTGCACTCACCACCAGGACTGAAGTTGAAGAGGGGGGGAAGCGGGCGGTTATTGGGGAGCTGGGTTCCCATACACCGCAGTTCGTCAAAGAAGCTGTGGGCACAGGCCTCGAGTGGGGAGAGCCTCGAGGATGGAGTATACTCTAACAGGCTGGAGCACAGCACAATGGCCTCTGGGGGCGTCCGAGATTTGAACACCTGAGGGGAGGGTCATTAAAATGAGCAGCTTTCTCATACTGGCAACAGTGCGCCTCACCTCCACCCTTCCTACCAAAGCCCACCTGCTAAATAAGGAAACTGATGTCAGTGGGCAACTGATCCAGGTCCCCTGACCGTATGAACCCTACTGTGAGCCTCAGTTTCCCTGTTACAAAATTAGCAATCTTCCATTTACCCATGGGTCCTCAACTTCTAAAATTTCTTGTTTTTTGTTTTTTTTTGTTGTTGGTCCTGGGGCCTGAACTCTGGGCCTGAGCACTGTCCCTCAGTGTTTCAGCTCAAGGCTAGCACTCTACCACTTGAGTCAGAGCGCCATTTCCGCCTTTGTCTGCTTATGTGGTGCTGAGGAATCGAACCCAGGACCTCATGCATGCAAGGCTAGCAATCTAAAACTGAGCCACCTTCCCAGCCCAAATTCCTTAAGTTTTTAAACCAGAAGGAAGCTAGTGGCTGGCTCCCTGTGTAACTTCAAACCCTCTCACGCCATGATTGTGAAGCCTGGTTCCTTTTTGGCCATGCAGTCTGAGTCCCTAGCTAGGCTTTACCTTTGTCCAAGGGTGGGCTTTAATCTGTGGGAACTTGAACTCTGTGTAGTTGGGGTTCATCTCTCGGATTTGTTCCCGGGTTGGTGTTCCTAGGACCTGCAGAGAGAGGGGGATCTGAGACAAGGGCCCTATCCCTCAGCTCTCCAACACATACACACACACCCTCACACACACACACCTACCCCACACACACACACACACCCTCGCCGGCTCTGCCCTCACCTTAATGATTTCCACCAGCTGGTCCACCCCGCTGTCCCCAGGGAAGATGGGCTGCCCAAGGAGGAGCTCAGCTAGTACGCAGCCAGCCGACCACACATCTGCAAGGGAACAGATGTTCAGGACTAGGCATGCAGGGGTCTACAAGCCCATCCGCTTGCAAATACCTCTGTTCCTCTTGGTTATCCTGAGGCATCAGGAGCCCCTTTTTCTCAGGTCACAGAGGAAGCACCTAGCCCAAGGTCATGCATAATCCCACACTAGAGCCCAGCTCAGCAGGTGTCATGGTTTGCCTTGCTTCCAGCCCCATCAAGACCCCAGTGAACACTTTCTTTGCCTCTAGACTCAAAGGACAGACCAAATGAGGCCCAAATGCCAACAGATACCAACATGTCCTCTTGGACGCTGGGAGGGAAGGCTAAGGGGCATGCAAAGCCTTAAATCCTGAACTGCCCTTTTTCCCCATCTCCCAATCTCTTCCCTTCCTAGGGGAAAGGCTGTAGCCTGGCCTTCTCCTCACTATTCTTCAAGGTGCAAGGATGCACTGAAGGAGCACACTGCCGATCTCGTTCAAGCTCAGTCTCTCACTTGATACTCTTTCAGCTTCCCCTCAGGCCTGGAAGGTGGCACTGTCACTCTCACCAACAGAGGAGAGCACAGGCTCTGGGAGCAGGCCATACCTCTGGGTTGGCAAAGCCTTGCCTGCCAGTTGCCCCAAGGTCACCACCAGCCCTTCCCCTCCTGCTGAGAACAGAGGTCTGTCTGGGAGGTTCCAGAACTGGATGGACTCTCAAGTCAGGTCAGCCTTCAAAGACCAAGCATCCCAGCAGTGCAATGGTGGGCAAGTGGACTCATGGCTCCAGGCTTTGGGTCCTTTTGATAGCTCATCTAAAATGAGATGCCATACATCAGCCTTCCAAGCTTATGGGGATCAGGTAGATAAAGCTTTGCTGGGCATCAGTGGCTCCCACCTATTATCCTCACTACTCACAAGGTTGAGACCTGAGGATCTCAGTTCAAAGCCAGCCTAGGCAGGAAAGTCTGTGAGGCTCTTATCTCTAATCACCAAAAAGCCAGAAGTGGAGTTGTGGCTCAAGTGGTAAAGTGTTAAATTCTGGGACAACTCCCAGTCCCCGAGTTCAAGCCCCAGGACTGGCATACAAAACAATAAAAAGATAAAAAGCTTTTGTCACAAAGCCTAGCACACAATTTTAAACCTGCCAAGATTGTCATCCATCCCCAACCCCACCCTCCGTCACAAACCGATGGATGAGGTGTAATCGGTGGCTCCAAAGATCAGCTCTGGGGCACGGTAGTAGCGAGAGCAGATGTAGGACACATTAGGCTCCCCACGTACCAACTGCTTTGCACTGAGGAAAGAGATAGGAGAAGGTAAGCACAGACCAAAGGTCAGGGGACCCTCACCCCTTCACCACCCCTCATAGCCCGGTTCAGGCCTACCTGCCAAAATCGCAGAGTTTAAGGACAGCAGTATCAGGGTCCACTAGCAGGTTCTGGGGCTTGATATCACGGTGACACACCCCCTGGGAGTGGATGTAGGCCAAGCTCCGGAAGAGCTGGTACATGTATACCTGGAGCAAGAGGGGACGGCTGAACTGCACCCAGCCCGACCACATGGCCAACTGCTGGCCCAGTAACCAACCTCAGCCTGAAGAACCCTCCTAGCCACTCCCCCTACCAACTACCCCACGGTGCTTGAGCTTTAAGGACTTTGTTTTCACAGACCACTGGGTCCTACTCCCCTTTTCTGATTCTGGGACTACAGGTCAGAGCATTGAGCCCTGCTGCACTGATCCTGGTCTAGGCCCACACTCAACTTCTGCCACTGCTATCATGGAAGCCTGAGAAGTAAGACAGGCAAAGGAGGTAGGCCCCTTCCCTCTCACCATAAGCCACTGGTTCTTCAGGAACTCAGCCTCTTTCATCAGACAAACTAGCCATGAGCCAGCCCCTTTCACTAGTAGCCAAGTGCCCAGACAGCAGGACCTTGATCTTGGAGTTTGATCACTGCTGCTGCCCCTAAGACACACCAGTACCTGACACATGCTAACCACCCCTGGCTTCACCACACACAGGCAACTTGTGAGACCTCCTTCCTCCTTCATCCCACTCTGTCAGCAATGCTGCTTCCTGTCCGGGTACGTGTTCTCTCAGTAGCATTTCTTGATCTTTCTCACTCTTAAACCTGGCTACGCTGGGAGCTGCCTGCTTCCAGAACCCCGTCTAGTATGGGTGTAGCTTATTGCTTTCATAGCTTCCTGTAATAGGAGTGCCTGTCCACCACACTGGCTATGCCTCTGGACTGCACTGGGCAGTCTGCACAGGCAGATACCACGCAGCTCTGCCTAGCCAAAGAATGTCCTCTTGGGAAGGGAGGTCCAGCAGCCCCCACACATACTAGAGCCTGTGTCAATGTCATCTTGTCCAGGTGCCAGGGTGCTTAAAGAACACCAGGGCTTGAGCAACCTCTAGCAAAAGAATCCATCCGCCTCCTAATGCCACAGGTGTCACGGCCTCTGTCCTTCCTGCTACTTGTAGACTTCTCTTTCACTGGCTTGTCCACTTAAGACATCTCCTGAGAAGCTGCAACACCCAGGGCCAGGTGAAGGGAATGTGATGCAGATGGTGCAGGAAGACGCACACCCAGCTCAGCAGTGTGAATGCCAACCTTCCTTCCCACTCATCCCCAAACAAGGCTCCAAAGGCCTGGATTCTGATCTCAGTAGCTGGATCTCAACATTTTTGGTCCCTGTTCATCCCAGTAGTGCTACTGGGCTCCTGGAGGGGCAGGCGCCTTCCAACCCCTACAGGTCCCTGGCAGATCTGCCTTCCAACCCCCACAGGTCCCTGGCAGATCTGCCTTCCAACCCCCACAGGTCCCTGGCAGATCTGCCTTCCTAACACAACCTTTGCCTTGCTTCACCTTCCCGCATTCAGTGAATTCCACCTAGGGACTGCAAGGGCAAGGGAGCCTCCCAAACCAACAAAAACTGGGAGGATAAGAACCGCCCCCACTCCCCCGCAAAAAAAAAAAAAAAACAGGGTTCTGGAGCTCCAATAGCCTGCCTGCCTACCTTGACGTAGATGATGGGGATAGTCAACTTGGCCTTGGTAAAATGGCGGGCCACGCGGTATACTGTCTCAGGCACATATTCCAGCACCAGGTTTAAGTACAGCTCATCTTTCTGTAGACAGCAAAGGAGAGGTATGAGGTCTTGTGAGGGAAGAGTGAGGAGGGGGAAGGGCAGGTGTGAGGGGGACAGTAAGGACTGGACCTGGGGGGGTAAAAGCAGACAGGAAAATGGAGCCACACATGCCTCAAGGTCTCACCTTCTCCCCACTGGAGTAGAAAAAGTACCGCAGCCTCACAATATTGCAGTGGTCCAGCTTCCGCATAATCTGCAGCTCTCGGTTCTTGAGGGCAAAGGAAGAGTCTCAACGAAAGAACCAACCCTCTGCCTCCGCCCGACAGGCAGCCTGCTGATCCTCCTCCCATGGCTACCAGCAGGGCAGGCAGCTGCTCCACGGCCCTAAACCCTGCAGAAGCACACACCCACACCCATTGTTTCTCCCCCCAAGCCCCTTCCTTCCTCTCACATACACAAACTGGAAGTCTATGGATTAGTTAATCCCAGGTCACAGATGTGTCCTCTTCAACTCAGGCTTTTAGTTTTCCAACTTGGACTAGAGGCATGGCTCAAGCGATAGAATACCTGCCTAGCAAGTGCAAGGGCAAGTTCATATTCCAGTGCAAGAACAAAGAAAATAAGGAAAGAAAAAGCCAGGCCCTGGTGACTCGCACCTATAACCCAAGCTAGTTAAGAGGCTGAGATCTGAGGATGGAGACTCAAAGCCAGCCTATGCAGAAAAGGCCATGAGATTCTTATCTGCAATTAACCACCTCAAATCAGAAGTGGAGCTGTGGTGCAAAGTGGGAGAGCCCTAGCCTTGAGCAAAAGGGACAGTGTCCAGGCTCTGAGTTCAAGCCCCACAAGCACAAGCACAGGACCACCACCACCAAAACAAAACAAAAAAAGAAAGGGGGGCTGGGAAGGTGGCTCAGTGGTAGAGCACTTGCCTTGCATGCATGAGGCCCTGGGTTTGATTCTTCAGCACCACATAAGCAAAAAGAAAAAAAACGGAAGTGGGGCTGTGACTCAAGTGTTAGAGCTTTATCCTTGAGCTGAGGGACAGCGCCCAGGCCCAGAGTTCAGGCCCCATGACTGGACCCCCAAAAAAAAAAAAAAAGGAAGAAAGAAAGGACAGATTGCAACCAGGCCCAGAGTTCAAGCCCCATGGCTGACCAAAAAAAAAAAAATTAAAATTAAGAGCCAAGTACCAGGGACTGGGAATGTGGCTTAGTGGTAGAGTGCTTGCCTAGCATGCATGAAGTCCTGGGTTCAATTCCTCAGCATCACATACACAGAAAAAGGCCAGAAGTGGCACTGTGGTTCAAATGATAGTGCTAGCCTTGAGCAAAAGAAGCTCAGAGACAGTGCCAGGCCCTGAGTTCAAGCCCCAGGACGGGGGGGGGGGGGGGGGGGGAGGCGGGAGAGCCAGGTACCAGTGGCTCACACCTGTAATCCTAGCTACTCAGGAGGCTGAGATCTGAGGACTGCTGTTCAAAACCAGCCCAATAAGAAAGTCCTTAAGACTCTTATCTCCAATAAACTATTCAGAAAAGGCCAGAAGTGGTGCTGTGACTCAACTGGTACAGCACTAGCCTTAAGCCAAAGCACAGGGACGGTTCCCAGGCTGAGTTCAAGCCCCAAGACCAGCATAAAATAAATAATTACAAATTTAAAAATAAAAGTGAGGGCTGGGAAGATGACTCAGTGGTAAAGCGCTTGCCTTGCATGCATGAGGCCCTGGGTTCAATTCCTCAGCACCACATAAGCAAAAAGAAAAAAGCTGGAAGTGGCACTGTGGCTTAAGTGGTAGAGCGCTAGCCTTGAGCTGAAGAGTTGAGGGACAGCGCCCAGGCCCAGAGTTCAGGCCCACAACCGGACCCTAAATAAATAAATAAATAAATAAATAAATGTGAAATTAGGGCCAGGCACTGGTAACTCATGCCTTTAATGGTAGCTACTTAGGAGGCTTGAGATCTGAGTATGTAGTTCAAAGCCAGCCGAGGCAGCAAAGGCCATGAGACACATCTCCAATTAACTGCCTAAAAAGCAGAAGTGGAACTGCAGTAGAGCACTAGCTTTCAGCAAAAGAAGCTCAGGGACAGTGCCCAGGCCCTAAGTTCAAGCCCTACAACCAAAAACAACAACAAAAGAAAGAAAAGGAAGGAAGGATAAACAATTTCAACTCATTGCTGACATTTAAAAGTGAAATTAAGAGCCAAGCGCCAGTGGCCCACACCTGTAATCCTAGCTACTCAGGAGGCTGAGATCTGAGGATTGCTGTTTGAAACCAGTCGGGGTAAGAAAGTCCATCTAACTCTTATCTCCAATTAACTACCAAAAAGCTGGAAGTGGAGTTATCACTCAAATGGTAGAGCACTAACCTTGAACCTCCGCCTCCCCCCCCCCCCCGGACAAAAAAAAAAAAAAAAGCTTAAGATAGCATCCAGGCCTTGAGTTCAAGCCCCATCACTGGCACATAAACAAACAAATAAATGTAATAATACTTCAAGATGAAGTAGTTACAGCTGGGCATTACCTGGAATCTTAATTACTCAGAAAGCTGAGGATCCCAGTTCAAAGCTAGCCCAGACAGCTATATCTGAGTCTTATCTCCATTAACCAACTTCTCTTGAAAAATCAGATGAGATGTCCACATAAGGCCCACTACTGTACCTGGCACAGGCAGCAAGAGACCAGCAGTAGCCATCTGATTCACTATGGTCCCCACCACTCTTACTATTACTGCTTCTCCTGAATGCATCTGGGAATTTGAATTTTAGCTTAGAACCTAAATCCCAGATTCCTGCCTTGTAATCCTCATGCCTCAGCATTCTCCCCATTCTCTGTTCTCTTCTGGCCCTCAGGACTTCTGCTCTCAGATCCCTCTCATTTCTAAAACTCAACTCTGACTGAGTTCTGGCTGCCAACAGTTTGGTCCAACAGTTCTCACTGCCCAGACCCAGGCCTGACCTAGGTCCCGCTCTCCCATATGCAGACTCCAATTATTCCTCTACTTCCACTTCCTCAGGTAGTTCCCTGAGCCTCTACTAGTTCACGGGGCACCTCTGCTTAAGTGGAAAAGGATACCCTTTCTTCAGGAGACAGAGCCCCACACCAAAACAAGTGTTTTAGTGAGCACCATGGCAGGCTGGATTCCATCCTGCATTGGCCAAACATGTGGGGTAGAAGTACAACCTTTAGGGCCAGGAGCACCAGCCTCCCCAATCTCTTTTCCCCCTCTGGAAGAACTGTAACCAAGTAGATGAGGTGGAGGGCTTGGGAATCAAACAGGCTAGCTTCTACTACTACATGGAATGCTAACAACACAAATTTCATGTCTGCTTACTTACAATAGGAATAATACCACCACCACAGAGAACCTCCAGGCAAATTAAACAAGAACATGTCAATCACTTACTTGAGCAAATGACCAATAAATGTCAGCTTTTGGCTCTCCTTGAAATTTACATTTGCCATCAACTTGTTCCCTTCCATTTGGTCCCCTCTGAAACCCCAGGTTCCAGCTCTCTTGCTGGGCACTTCTATTAGCCACACCCAGTCCCCAAACCTCATCTTCATTCCCGAAAGCTACCTTGAACCTCTTGTCCTGGAGAACTTTCTTGATGGCCACCAGTTCCCTTGTCTCTGCCAGCCGTGCCTGGTACACAACCCCAAACGAGCCATTGCCAATCACTTTGATGTCTGTATATGCCACCTCCTGGGTGCGCTCTGGGCCTTGGCCTAAGGTGGCTACCACTGTGGTCACCTTCCCGCTGTCACCTGGGGAACAAAGAGGACACTCAATCCACTGGCCTTTGCCCTCTGGCCACCACCCTCTCCAGGGCTATGGGGAGGGAGGGAAAGTATTGTAAAAAGCCCATGGGGGATGGAGGTATGGCTCAGTGATAGAGCACCTGCTTAGCAGGCATAAGGCTGGATTCTCAACACAGCAAAATATAAAATGAACAATAAAACTTTCAGGAGCTTCTTTCTTCCTGCTCATCGCTTCTGAATTTACACCTTCCAGTGACATAAGGTTTTCCTCAAGGAAACTTGAGTCCTGCTTTTTCCCAAATGAGAGAACACTGATACCCAGACTTGTCACTTAAGGATTAACAATCCTAATTTCCACTTTTAGAGAGCAGCAAGTCACTGGTCCCTCAGGTGACACTGGAGGATACCAACATCCTCAGGTGTTGAGTCCATATGCTCTGGGCACAAGTCCTCTAGCCTTTTCTGTACTAGTAGGCAAAACCAACTGTCACTCAAGGGAGAGTCCACCTGAAATGCTCCTTCACTGGTTGAACACTGGCCTTCCTCAAAGCCTGGTAGGTTCAGCATTTCTTGGTGATGAAAACCAGTGTGTCTTACAACTACAAGCACTAGTACCCTGACCATTACTACTTTACCTTAGAACAGAACCTGTATGGTCCAGAGCAGCACCAACCCTGAGAATGGAGAGTCTAATTGCTGTCCTAAAAGCTCCAGTTTCCACTTCCTGCTCCCCAAACAGCAGCAAACCTTGGTACCATTCCCAAAGGATGGTGACCCCTTTTCTTTGGGAAACTGATAGACCAAGTCCACTTCAAGGGGCCAATGACACCTTCTTTTGAATAAAGATATTCTTACAGCGCTTTTAGGTCCTTTCCCAGCCCCCCCCACTCCCTTTTAGAGCCAATAACACTATTCCCCACAATGATTGGAGGTACAACCTCAGATCCATATTCTACACGAAGTTAGGATCCATTCCAATTTTACTTTTGCTAAAGGAGTTTTTTCAAGCCATGGGGTTTTTTTTGTTGTTGTTTGTTTTTAAAGAGCAGTGACAACTGACTAGGTCAGTTTATTCTTACATCTAAGCAGCAGTAACTACTAATTTCCACAACTGGATGTACAGCTTTACATATTTTGGGTGGGTAATGTCAGGCCTTGTATTTTAAACCTGACCCTGTTCCTTGGGGACACGGTAACCCCAAATTCTTACTTCTAAGAGATACTTCGTCCAAATGTCCATCTTCTGAAGAAAAGCAAGTGAAGATTCCCCGTTTTTGTTTTGTTGTTGTTGTTGTTGTTTTTTTGGGGGGTGGCAATCCTATTCTTGGTCTTGGTCTTTTAGGGAACAATAATCCTAGATCCTCATTCACAGGTGACGCTGACCTCTGATCTGATCCTGCTATGTAATGGATGGCAATGTCAAATCTCTTGTTTTGAAGGTTTAAGGACCCAAGACTCTGGTATTGGAAGAATGGGGACCTGTGACCCCTGTTTTTCTGAGTGGCAGGAATTCTGATCCTAAAACTCCAAGTGATGATAAACCACTAAACTCCTTTCTCTGGCAGGCAGAGAAGTCAGCTCGGTTCTGGGGAGGCACAGTGACCTCGAACTCCTATCTGGGGATAGGAAAGACGTTTGAAAGGCTTGGAGAACCCAGACCACCACCCCACACAGGCACCCCCGGTACTCACGGCCCAGCTTCACTCCGGGCGGCGGGAAGCTGGTGCCCGCGCCAGGGCCGCCGCTGCCACCTCCGCCGCTGCTACTGGGGCCACCCCCAGAACTCGAGGCTCCCACGCCCCCACCCATAGCCCCGACTGACGCCTTTCCGCCGCCGGTGCCGCCTGGGCCAGAGGCCGAGCCCCCGGGGCCGCCGCCGCCACCTCCGCCTCCGCCGCCTGGTTCAGCGAACGAGCTGGTCCGCGCCCGGCCCGAGCCCCCAGGGCCGCCTCCCGAAGGCCCGCCGCCGCTCATGGCGCCGAGCGCTGGCCCAGGACGCGGGGCTCGGGCTGCCCGGGCTGCCTCAGCCGCAGCCGCCGCCGCCTCCCCCGGGCTCTGGCCTCTTCCAGGCCGCGCCGCTCGGGCTCCGGCTCCGGCCCAGCGCCCGCCGCGGGGCACGCCGGGAGATGCAGTCCGCCTGCCGTCCGCGCCGCCGTCACCGCCCTCGACACACAAGGAGGCCCGCGTGGTACGCCGGGAAATGGAGTCCGCAGTGGCTTCAGAGTAGAGGTAGGGGGTCAGGAGATGACGGTCTCTCTGCAAGTCGAGAAATAGAGTCCTGGGTAATCTGCCAACTGATTGGGGCAGAAGGCAAGCCCTGGAGGATTTTGAAAACAGATTCACCTCCACGACAGCAACTCAGAGCTTCTAGCGGTACCTCAGAAATGAAGTCCCAGCCGCGCCATCCCCGAGCTGAGTAGGCCTGAGGCACGCCGGGAAACGGAGTCCAGTCAGTTCTCTTAGCCTCTAGGCAATGGGTGACTCCCAGAGCCAGATGCACTCTGGGAAATTGAGTCCACACCGGTCAACCCGCAGATCTTGGTCCGTGAGGCAAGCCGGGAAATGAAGTCGGTGCCACACCCTCTCCCGCATTGCAGGTGTAAAGCGTTTTCCAAAGCACGCCGGGAAATGGAGTCCCAAATGTAGTCTTGAACCCCCCCCCCCCCCGAGTAGATACGAGGGTTCTAGAGATAGACCAGGAAATGGAGTAGGCATCACGTTCTCTGGCCTTGTACACCGAACCGCAGTGCCTGCTGGGAACTGTAGTGGACACCAAGGTTGTTTCACTGAGATCTTAAGGCTTTCTGGGAAGTGAAGTTCAAGGCAGCCTCCGAGTTGATGGACAGGCGGGATTGACTAGACGCCCGAAGCATGTTGGGAATATTATAAAGCTGATCCTGACCCTTTGTGAGACCAGGATCAGAAGTTTGCTGGGAGGTGGAATGTAGTCGAGTGCCACCGGGGATTGTGGGACAAAGGGTACGGACGGTAGTTCCCTAGAGGAACTGGAAAATGTCTCAGTGCCTCCTCTTTCACCCTCCAAGTTGGTCGGTGACCCCTGGGAAAAGACGACTAAGTACCTTTGAATTCCGTGTGACCACAAATCAGGAGGGGGTGGATGGGGTGGGAAGCAAAAGTTTCTAGTGGAGTATCCCAGAATTTGCCTTCATATACTCTTCTTTTTCCTATCAATATAGGTAGCACTATGAGGCAAAAATGAGCACCAAAAGAATGAAAGAGTACCGTCTGCAGCTTTAGGGCTTTCGTTTGTTGCTGTTGTTGATTTGTTGCATCTGCCCGTTTTGGGAGACCAAATGAAATAAGCCGGTTTCAAGAAGTAGCCTCTGGGTTTTGTGCGCTCATTTTATCTTTAGTACCCGGAAAGATAACAGCCTCAGAGGATCGTGGGAAACAGAGTTCTTGCGTGTTTGTCCCTCCAGTCCGACGAAGGGTAGGAAATGGGGATTCTATACTTCACTTTTAATTCGAACCTTTGTTCATACTAACTGATCTGGCTTTCCTGAGGACCTAAAGAAAGTTCAGTCGGCTCGGTCTGTTTTTGATTGCAAGGCAGTGGACGCAAAACCGCAACAGATTTAGCACTGAAGCCTTCTCGGACTACATTACCCAGAAGGCAAAGCGCGAGTTCTTCCGCTTCCTCCGCAAAGCCTGTGAACACGCCGCCCTCCTCCTTCCTTCCCCCCCACCCCCGCCGCGGGTGTTTCTGGGATTTGTAGTTGTCTAACCAAATGGTGGCTGCTGCCCTCTAACGGCAGCTCGGAACTTAAGAGTAAAATTTTTAATTCAAGCTTCAAAGCGCAGAAAATTCCGAAGGGGGTCAAGAAGGTTCTCAAGGACATTAGAGAGGGGTAGAATAAGACCCAGCTAATTTACCTCCAGAAAGTGTAGGGCATGCGCAGTGGACAATCCTCTGAGGAGTTTGGGTCTTTAGGAGGATGAGGGTGATGATGTGAGAATCTGGGCTTTCTGTTGTTGGGTGGGCTTGGGTTTTTTGTAAGTGGTAAGAACATTTGTGGAGGAGTACTAGGGCCTAATAATGTGTGTAGAGACAGAGTCCACGAAGAGGTCTTTAATGAGTTCTGGACACCTGACACATCTGGACCAGTGGAGAATTCTGAGGTAATTTAGGATAGCTGTCAAACGACTATAGGCGATTGAGAAAATACTGGTGACTGAAAGGGTCTCTTGAGGGATCTAAATGGGGTGAGAGATGGCTGAGAAACACCAGGAAGGGCTTTGCCAAAAGGACCCGTCCAGGTGCTGGGGTTGGAGGCCATGTTTGGTTGCAAATGAGATCTCTGGTGGGGTGAATTAATGTGGAAGATGCCCTATGGAGAAATCTATGAAAGATTTTCTTCTTGGAAAGCAAGACTCTCAGAAACTAGGATCATAGGTGTCTTGCAGAAATATTTCAGGTCTGCTAATAGGAGTTCAGTGAGCTATTCAAGATTAAGGGAAAACACTGGTGTTCTCTAGGCCAAACGCCACCTGCAACATCCCACACATCCAGAATCTGGGGCAAGAAGCTTGGTTGGACCGTGTAGTCTGACCTGGAGCTGAGCCTTTGGGAGTCATGTGATTAGAGGTATTTGGAAAGCTAAGGTACTGAAGCTACTAGACAGGAACCTGTTTCCCTCCAGCCAGCCGGGACTTTCTCCTTATCTCCCTTTCTCCATCACTCTACCAGCAACTCAGTCGCATCTTTGTTGCCAGGAGATCCGCCTCATCCCAACTTCCCGAAATAGCCCAGCGGTCCCCACCCTAGGGAATAGCTTACATCACCCAGGAGAGGGAGCAGTTGCCCATAGCAAGCCACAGGAGCCTCGTTTTCCAGCCAGTTCCTCAGCCCTGGATCCTCTCTTTACTGCCAAGTGACAGCGTCATCTGGGACCACCCACCCTGGGCTGGCAAGAACTGAAGTTTTAAGTGTGTAATGGGTAGCAGTTGCCCGTCAACATTCTTTCCCCCTCAGGGTTACACAGGGTGGGGTTTCATGGTAAAGCCAGTCCAACAAGCCCCTAGCCCGCTGCATCTCCTAACAGCTGCATGGCCTGAGGGAAACCCCTTCACCTCACTGGGCCTCAGGCACCTCACCTGCACTGCAGGTCCTGGCTTATCTCTCTGGGTAATCCCAGCCTGAATTCTTCCTGCTTTGCTCCTCTCAAGACTCAAGTCTCCAATCTGAGCTTCTAGATTTATGAGGCTGGCTCTAAGATTCTGTAATTCTGAAACCCCTAATCTGGATCCAACCATCTTGAATGCAGGGGAGAGAAAAAAGAAATCACTTGCTCAAAGAACGTCATACAACTGGGTTCTTTCTTAACTGAGCTGGTGGCCATTCCTTGTTGAATGCTAAAGGCCTGTCAAACCATACTACCTACGAGGTGGAAGCCAGCCCTTGTCATTTGCTGGCTGGGAATGGTAGCCTAGTTGAACCAAAAAAGACCACCATTATTTGCAAAGTATTTAAAGAGATACCGCAGGCTTTGTCCCAAAGGACTCGCAGCTTAATTCCAAGCACCCAAATAAATGAGTGGGCAGGGTGTTAAAGGCAGCACACACACACACACACACACAAAAGCAGCTGGGTGCTGGTGGCTCACGATTGTAATCCTAGCTACTCAGGAGGCTAAGATCTGAGGATGGCGGTTCAAAGCCAGCCCAGGCAGGAAAGACTGTAAGATTCCTATCTCCAATAAACCACCAGAAAGCCGGAAGTGGTGCTGTGGCTCAAGTGGTAGAGCTGAGGGACAGTGCCCAGGCCGAGTTCAAGCCCCATGACCAACAAAAAAAAAAGTCTTGAACTTCACAGGGCCACGGGGGGGGGGGGGGGAGGTAAGGAAATCAGAACAGGTGAGAAAAAAGCTTCAGGCACTCAAGAACCAAGCAGTTTGGGGGTGGATAAGTGAAAGTTCCAAAGGCAGACAGAGCCTTCTGGCCTAAAAGTCCAGGGCCACAGTAAGCCAGAGACCTTAATCACCCAGCTCTGAGGTCTGTGACACCCAAGTGCAGCAGACAATAGTTCCCCAAGGCCTGGATTGAAACCATCCAGACAGGGTTAGGCCCTCTGGCCACAAAGTGAGGGGAGGGACAGTCTAGACCTGTCCAAACTGGCTCCACCCAGCATCTAGGACAGCTCACAGCAGGGAAAGGTCCAAAATTTTATTGTTTGAATACATTCTCCGGCAGCCCCCTACTTCCCTCCCCCACCCTCCAGCCCCAATACAGAATAAGGCTTGACCACAGCCCCCACAGCCCACCCCAGGGGCCCCAAGCTGGGAGGCAGGGGGCGCTTCCAGTTTGGTTTCAGGGCATTCCCCTTCCCGTAAGCCTCCACCTGTCCGCCCTGTGGGCCAGTCCTAGGAGCAGCTGGGGGTCGGGTGGGGGGGGGATGAAGGGATGGGACTGGGGCTGGGGTTGGGAGTGGGAGAGCAGGCACTTATAGAGATTTGTGGCCCATGGGTGGTAACCCCCTCACCCTCCACCATTCCCCCCCACCCTACCCCATCCCTGTACACGGGATTTTTGGTTCATCATAAAATGGTCCCTCCCTCCTCTGCTGCAGCCTTGTGGGGTATGAGAAACCCAGGCACTCACAGCCCCTGGAAGGGGCAAGGAAGGCAGGGTTGGGGGGAGGTGTAGGAAACGGAGGAATGGACTGGAGGGAGGGGAAGGTTCCAAGGCAGAGAACAGGGAGGGAGACAAGGCTTTACTTCCTAAGATTGTAATTTAAAAAAAAAAAAAAAAGTTCCTGGGTGTTAAGGCCAAAGCCTGGTTCAAAAAGAAATTCCCAGAATGGAGGTCACCCCTCCCTTCCCCCCCACTTCCTCCCCCCCATCACCATCACTTTGCCCAGAGCTCAGACACCCAGAGGAAACCCCCAAGTCTTGGGCACCCCCCCACCCCCCCACCATTTAAAAAAAAAAGTATACTTTTATACAAAATGTGGGGAGGGGAGGAGGTGGTATGGGGGAGACGAGAAAGCTGCCCTCACCTCCAGGGCTTTGGGGGGGGGTGGTTAAGGCAGCAAAAGAAGCATGGGAAATGGGGGACACCTGGGCCCCCTGCCCACAGCCCTCAGGAATCTCGATGTTCCAGAGAGAGCTGAGCTGTGGCATGCTGGAGATCAGAAC